TTGACCAACGACGGGTACTCGTTCAGTTCTTCTGGAGTAGTGTTCTTTGGCGAGTCGTTTAATGTCCCTATTGGTCTGACCGCATGACGCCCTAATGCATGAAGCACGAGTAGATTTCTTTTAACTGGACGGGCAAGCGTGAACGAGCTTGCCGGTTCAGAATGGTTTGTTTGCCTGTCAGCTGCCGTTGTTACCAGAAGAAGGAACAAAAAAAGAAGCCTCTATTTTTGCTTCGACCTGCAGTAGCTGAAGAAATGAGTTTCTCTCTTAGTCTTTCCCTCTTTGTGTTCTCGCAGCTTCCCCTTGGCCCCCCAAAATGCCTAATTTGTAGCCCTCAATTCTGTTAATTGCCAGGCGAGTGATGAAAACAGTAAACAGGTTTCATTTTCTACACCGCCAACTGCATTTCGATGGCAACGATCAGCGTACCAATCTACATTGTATATGATAAAACGGCAGAAATAACGATGGCGAAGGGAAGTAAACAAGCAAGACGCTTGTTTCACTCATTGTTGGTGAACTTGTATGACACCTGTTACTTAATGATGTGGAAATGAAGTGCCACTTCAAAAGCACAAGGCGTAGAAGCGGCCTATTTTCCTTCAGCTCGATCCACTGAATCCGAATAGTCCAACCATTTTTAATAAATGTACTTATACAATTCGCTAGTGATTATAGCGGTAAGAGAGACAATGGTTAAGCTGACAATTTACTTTTAGCCTATGCCGTTCCACGTTCCTTGTTTGAATTTACTACTACATGGAGTAGAACCCAAGAAGTTACACAATGTTTGTCATGAGATATAGTTTGACTGGCTGTAGCAAGTGGATCCAGTGTTTATATTGTAAATGTGGCGGCTGGTGTATTATTTTTATTTATTTTAATTAATTTATTTATTTAGATGAGAATGACAAATATAGTCTAATATCCTGTCGTAATTTCCTGAATAACATCAATAACCCAATTAATAAAACATCCCTCATTCGTACTTTTGATAAGACTCCAACTATACAATGAATAGAAGCAACAGGGCCTAACCCCTGTATAAGCAACACACAAGAAGCATTAGGTGAGGTCAAAATTTCAATAAACTGTTACCTGCGTCCTCAGTGTGTGTAACAGGCATCCGCAATAGGAATTCAAGGACATTCCCGCTCCTCGATCGATACTAATGTCTACTTAAGGGTCAAGCCCGTGTCCAAACTTTAAGCTTAAACCCTTCCTGGTCAGACAGGCGTTACTTCAATCACACTACAAGCTCGACTCCTTTTTTTGTATATATACATCATATTAACCGCGTGCTATTAATATCGCTATTAATCGACAAAAATATCAATGGTTGCCGTCTATTTGAATCCAGAACTCACAAAAGGATACAGTTAGTCTGACTAGTGGTCAACGCCAATTTCGTTAAACAGAGCGAGTGGGTAAAGAAAAATACCTAAAATCCTCAATATCGTTTAAATGCCGACGAGCGTCGGAAAAGAGCGATAACCAGATTATGGACATCGTCGCTATATTTGAATTCCAACGGTGAATTCAGACAACGAATGTACGTTATTCATTGTCGCGTCATCACAACCGATTACGTTGCTTGTCGTCACCTCTTATCAGACAGAAACAGCCTTGACTTCGTTTACTGACAAGCTTTCTTTCGGTCTTCCTTGCTTTTACCTCGGGGTAATGACGTCCTGGCTCATGCCAGCGTCGAGCACATTTCGCTTTGAGTCCGCGGCCAATCTTCCTGTAATCCTTTATCCTCTTGGCAAAACTTCCTTTCGTTCTCAACGGCTCTACTCTTGGTGCATCCATTATTTACATCCCTCTGAAGATACCTAATTCTTGTAGGCACCATCACTACTGCCGCATAGAAGCGCCACTGCAGCGTTTTCTCAAGCACCAATCTGGCTCAATAAAAACGCTTCACCAAGCGGTCCAGCACGACAAGTTGATAACAACCGTAAACAACCGAAAGAGACACTCACTTTAACGCTGGACAAGGGCTTGTCCTATCCGGTGGCGCAGTCTTGCGCCATAATGTTCCCACGAAAAGGGGATCGCGAACGTTCGTTAGCTCTTAGTCGACATTATCGATTTCATTGTGATGCTGTAGTTGTCAATATTTCTAGACATACACAGACAAGGACAATAGTAATGTTGAACGCTCGTATGCATCTATTATATTTTCGCACGAGTAAATTCGGGTTTCATTGATAAACGTTCTCCTGAACAGATTATCTGATAAGCGCGTACTATTCGAAATGGGGTGATATAACGGTAATATCTGTTGTGTGTAGCCGGTTTAGTTAAACCAAGACGATACCGGCCCTTTGCTGCGTCTTTTACGATTCAACAACGTTGGACGGGTGTAAAAAACATTCGCTAAGCGACTACGTAAGCTTAATTAAAATGCAATCGAAACTGCAGCAGTGCGCGAGCGTGTCTCAAATACGTGCTACAGGTCGGGAATGGAGGATCCCCACGCGTAACCCGCTGTTCGCTAAGCAGCCTACTCAACAATCTCTGTAGGACCAATCCACCCGCAATTGAAAATATTGCCCAGCCTACACTTCAAACGGTTTTGTCTCTCCTTGAACGTATAGTGGAATAAGAAATAGAAAATGGCCGAACAGTCTTTTACTAGCTCTGTGCGTTTTTTATATGTACCTCGAAACTGGCACCTTTATGGGCGGCGAAACGTACGCGTGATCGAATTTGTTCCTTTTTATAAGCCGCTAGAGAGAATCTAAAACTTCACAAATACCTAATTTGTTATTTGTATGAACTATAAATGGGAAGATCGACCGCTTTACATAAACCTCTATCGGAAACGGCTGGTAAAGTCATAACTTTCAAAGGCGGTCTAATTCTTTTCGAAGTTCGGCTCCGTTCGACCAGCAATCCGCGACTGCGCGACATTATAAAGCATGGTGCGTAAAAACGACTCAAATAGCACCACTTGGTCGAGAATACCGCTGAAAAAAGGAGTTACGCTTTTCTGTACTCTGATTAAGTTAATGCATTGCGTTCAAATGATTCTGCTCGATCTGACAAGGTCGATTTCGAGATCTTATTTCTAATACACTTGTGTATAATATAGAGTGTATGTGACGCTGTTTATATATATATATATCTCTCGCCCACGCATAAATTACGTTCTAACAGAAAGTCGCACAAAGAACAGCTCAGAACACCTCATACGACACTTTCATCCCATTATTGACAGAAACCAAAGTAGTGAAAAATGATTTTTTTGTCGTCTTTACTCTAAAAGCCCGATTGAAGTACAGAAACGTGTCTTGTTTTTTTTGTTCAGCTATCCTGAAAATTTGCCATAAATCTAATTGAAGTAGTATCTGACATAGAACTTTTTCCTCAGGTTTCGTCGTTGTATTTGAAAAAAAATCTTGAAACTTTCCCATTGACACCTATGAAGACTTAAGTCAGAAACATCCAAGAGCCGCAAATCATAGGGCTCACGTCTGGCTAGGAAGATGATGCACCCAAGCTAGCACAAAATGACGTCGATACAGTTGTAGCAATAGATAGATTTCTAAATAGAAAAAATTGTATATGATGGAGAGAGAATTCTGCGAGATAGAGAAGAGCTACAGCAAACAGGTGTCAAGCGACGTACACACTAAAGCTAAATGAAGCTCGTAACCTACAAGTAATACCCCCATTATGCTAAAATATGATTCATTAAATAGTCTTATATGAACGTGCTAATTGATCCTCGTTTTATTGCGATTGTCAATGGAGACGTGCATAGCTCGAACGAAGACGTTAGCTGGTCATCATTCGAAATCTAACAGCTCAGAGGAGATGCCCATATCAGGCGAATGACCTTGTCACCATCGCTTGCGCATAGAAAGAGGGCACCGTACAGCTATAGTCGTATTCTTTTTCAACATTACCATTGTCTCTATCATTGGTTATTATCATTATTTTACTATTGTGCTCATATCTATGCGTATATGTTTATATTCGCAATGACATTGAATCAACGAAGTATTTTTTATTGAAGGAAAGCTGAAAAACGGATGACATTGCTGAGCGGTGCCCAGGCAAGTGCAGCGCAGATTAGTGACGTATGAAACGCGACTGTTAATTACTAGGACAATGGCTTCGACGCAAATAGGTGCACTTTCAGATGGGAAGATTAGTAGCTCGTAAAAAGAGAAAAGTACGAGATAGAACATCTCGTTGATACACAGTATTATTTGTCTATGTGGTTGAGGTATTACCGTATTACCTAGGTTTATTACTATCACGCATCTGTTATAGTCGACGCGTGGGAATTTAGTTTTGAATCGATGAGTGCGGCAAAATACGGATATGAGATATTTTGACGCGCTCTTCAACCATCTCGCCTGTTCGGGTTAGCTGTGTATATCTGGTCCTTCAAGGACGCGTATGTTACAATCCTGCTAACGGCATGACCGTTTTTGCTCGTCGAATTCAATAGAATATATTGTAACGAATCATATGACGTTTGTTACTGTGATTGCAGGTCTGTTTATTGGCAGGATATATGTGGCTTTTACATTTAAGGAATATTTATAGGTGACTGATGAATAGCTTTTACTTCTGGAACTCTTCATAGATAATGGACAGCTAGGAAGGTAATGAGGACGAGACTAGAACGGCAAAAAAACGAACGTAGTTACGAATGATGATATGCCTCGTTACTAAATACGCTAATAACGCGTGCATGCGAGCGGAAACTACGTAAAATAGTAGTCGCCAAATCTGGCGCAATTTTCAAATCCGTAACGGATTGAACCAGCCATCTTAAACTGACTTCTTTTATCTCTACCTGATTAAGCGTCTCTATGAGTATACTGATAACAAAGGGTTGAATCTAGCATGTATACACATAATGAACACACAGTGGTATCTAAAGCTGAACGAGCGAGCTCGATAAAGATTCTGTAGCGATAGATATTACGGGCTGAGGATTTTGAGGGATATATTTCAAAAGCATTACAGATCTGGCTATGTGGGACGGCATGCTGAGAGCTTCACAGTACAATTCATTCAATTCAATTCAATTCATGGGAAATTCATTCAAGACGCTATAAACGCTTATACATAGAGGGAAGAAGCAGAGCTGTAAGTGAAAAAAAGCACACAAATATGTATTGGTTGTTGATTTTTTATACTTTTTTTTTTATATGATCATCGTCAATCATGAACACCACAATCTACGGCGTCACCATTATCACTTTATAATAATTTAAGATTATAGTAGTATTGTAATCATAAGATATTATCATCGTCGATATCTCTATAGAATAATCGAACGGCAGCATCCATAAGAATAACTATAATATCCATATGTTGACATATTGTATTTTTGTTTTCTGTGGAAACACGATCGAAACATATTTTCCATTTAAAAACTCTATCCTGTTTACTTCGATTGTAAGCTCAATTTTCGTGTTCGGAGACATTATGCACGACACGTTTCAGAGCGAACAAAACCATGAGTCCGGTAGTTCACGCTTAGTCTTGTTTATCTAGACGATATCACTCTCATTTGAAGTTCGGCGATGCTCTAGGGAACGATATCCATTTTCCCTAGAATCGAATAGGTCTATCGAACGCTTTACACAGAATGCTCGATGATAGTTCATTCACACAATAATTATGTACATTTATCATATACACAACATCGGCGGCCAGCTCTTTTCGGCGATAGAGGTGTGCTTTTATAAATTAGGTCTACTTATGTTTATTATTGTTGAAACTCCTTTTTTTTTTTTTCCACTGTTTATCACACCCGTTACCGACGAGGAAGTCTAATAGCATTGCCCTTTTAAGTTCATATTTGCATCATTTAGTATCTACCAAAGCACGTTCATGATTAATGACATCCTTATTGAAGACGACGGGATGCATCTGCTTTGGAACTGTTGAAAACGCAACACCCAGCGGAGCAAATGAGATCCCTTATCACTCAGCAAATATCTAGGGCCGGCTAATTGACCCCTTATCAGTCACCAAATATCGAAAACTACGGACGGATTTTTGCAAGCATTGCGATATGTTTTCAGTTATCTAGAGGTGCTTTAAAGTAGCATGACCGACAATGTATTCCTCACTATAGGTTGATGTATATAACAAGTCCATTCTAATAGTATTCTTTTTTAGAGTAATAAGTATTCTTGTTACTTTATTATTAATTATTTGTTATATATTTACTTGTCTTGTACATATTTAGATTATTTATTATAACTAGACATTTAACCGGTGCAGCATTTCGAGACCTTGAAATGTTGGGTTTCAAATGACAAAACGTAAATAAAAAACAATAATATCAGCGTATTAGTAACAATAACATACTGAAGGGACCATTAAAGCGCTTACTCAAAATCGAGGTAGGGACGATTTTCAAAGCGCACATCGTCGTACAGTTTGTCAGGCCTCCTGTCAGGCCTCCTATATCGCTGTGAGAACATTGGCGACAACAGAAATAACCGCCTAGTTTATATAGGGGAGATAATTTTAGATGCAGTATATTCATCTTTTTCCCGTCGTAATACCAAAAAATGTTTAACAGAACCCAATGGTCAATTCGGACTTACTGATCCAGCTAATTGGCTATACTAGCAACGATACCGAATCTTTCCTCAGTCGCAGCTAAGTGACAAAACGGTGGAGAGTATAATGGTTTCAGTGGACCCCTATATTTGTCAATTTCAACCCATGTCGACTTGTCCCTCTACTTTATATAACTTTATTACATATGATATGTGTATCCTTCCCCGCAAACATTAAACCACCGCTATCGGATTGAGTTCCTTATCATAAACTGTGCGTGTACTATAGAGTTGTCGTCTTTTCCTATATATTTTTCCTAGTAATGATATTTTCTTTTAGTTGCGCGTATGTCTACGTGGTTGTACAAGACAGAACGACGTCATACAAAAAATAACAGCGGCGCAACAACTTTTGACGCTGCCGCACTTTTTTCCGCAGGCCATACTGAAACTGTATCGGCCGGCAAATGTCTGTCAAAAATTGCAGAGAGAGAGAGAGAGAGAGAGAGAGAGAGAAAGCGTTCTACAAAGTCTAGTAGCAGCACGGTAGCTAGCTCACCAGGCGACCAAAGTAATAACAATATCAACGCCAAATAATAGCCATTGTATGCTAGTAATCGTAATGGTGACATCAGACCTATGCACATCGACACACCCGCACAGGTACAGACTCACTCCTAGATACCCCCTCCCTTGCACCTTCGGATCGCTGACCGCCGCTATGCTACGGTAAGATCCCTTTTGAAAAACGCAGCTAGTAATAATGCGACTGTCCTGCCAAAGCAAAATAGCGAAAAACAATATGGCCATTTAAATCCCGCTTAGTTTGAAAGAGTTTGAAGAAGTGACAGACTCACGTTCGCTTGGCGCACGGTTGTGCGTCTGTAGGACAGACTCGACTGAGGTGACTGCCGCTTGGCAGGAAAAACTGATTTATGCATGACCCTATAATATATCAGTCGGTCAAACTCCATCATATATATATATGGAAGAATTCAGCACAATCAATTGATGTCGTATCGCTGACACAATGACATTTATGTCATAGGAAAAAATATACTTTAATACTAAAGACTACTACTATTATTATTACCTCTACAGAAGATTATTACTTGAAGAATTCTCACAGTATTATGAATGTATTCCAAATCCACTGGAGGACACGAACATCTCGTAAATGTTCAAAGGACGGGTACAGGTTTGTGCATTATAGAGTTATAGTGATGATGGTGCTGTGGTAGAGTTGAAAAGCCGGGGACTGCGGTAGCGGATTATGAACGATATGAAACGTGCATTGACTTTGTACATTCAATAGGGGACTACAGACACCCAAGACACTTTTGCTAAACTTTCTTTAAGTTTAGCAAAGGTAGTTGTCGTTATTGTCCGAATTCAACAACGAAGGCAAGCGACGAAGGATGATCAATGGAGGTTTTGATAAATGGACACACTGAAAGGTATTTCCGACCCAACTCATCGACCTGTATGAATTCGATCAGTGGAATTGAAGCGATTTGCAGTCCCTTATTTCTCATGGTCTAGCAGCAGAAGAAGAACACCGCGAGAAAGATCGTAAAAAATGTACTTAGTTCTATGTAATGAGTATACGAAATATGGGGCATTTAGTTGTATATTCGGTTTGATATAGGTATAATGATATGGGGAATCTTTGTTAGTGTAAATACAAAATGAAGGCAAGAGTGCTTTGAGCAATGTAAGCAAAATGTTTAAACAACGATTAACGCTAGAACAACACTGTTAGACGGTGCTAGTGATTGGGTCCGACTGGCGAAAAGGAAACCACTAAAAATTCATGTAGATCTTCGGGAGACAGCACGCCATGATAGTGATAAACAAATGCGACTATTTGTAAAAACCTCTCCAGGTCTGCCCATAGTTTGAACTGACGTGTGAAGGTAACCTGTGAACCAGACAAAATATGTTCGGCCCTGTTCTACTCTAGGGCTAACCAGCTCATATAAAAAAAACTAGGCAAACACATCTCTTTCTCTAAATCGACAGCTTTGTCTCCTCCAGAATCTCTCACTGTTTTAATGGGGCCTTCATCTCATATATGCCTCTCTTCGACACCACTTTACCCAAATAGACGAAAACATCTTGTGTATTGATCTTAATCGTCTCTTTAATTTGTCCACAAATGTCTTCCTTTGCGCTCTAAACTTTTGGCTGGCTATAGTAAGCGGTTGTTGGAGTCTTCTTTCTTTCTATCTCTACCTGTCGCCCAATCTACAGCCATCATAGAACCATTCATGTGAGCATATTTCGAATCCGCAATTGGATTGGCTTTATACGATAGCATCTAACAACTCAGCAGCTATAGGCGAACGATTGGCGTAAACGTTAGCCTTAGATGCGCCGACCACTTGTGTGGCGTGGAAATCTATACACAGTAAATATGTATACACAAAACGACCGCTCGGTCGCTTGTCCATTAATCCTTCAACCTGTCACACAATGGTATCGTATGATTAAGAATAAAAGTCGATTTCTAATTGCGTCCAACTGAGCATCGCCGGTTAATTAATTGTACTGTTTCTTGTTGGCCCTTAGCAAACACTAGCGTGTGCTGTTCTGTCGAAAAAAATATGTGTATTGATGACATTGCCACCAGACTTGATCATGGTCGATCAGCTGGGGGAACAACAATCCAAAGGGTCACACAGATATGTATCTCGCCTTTTTCTTCTAAATCCTTTTCTCGTGATGATGGTCGTTGGTTCCAGCTAGAATATCCGGCTTGTTTGGCGGCGGTGGCCGAAATGTTCCTGGCGCTCCTGTAGCTTCGAGTCTCGTCACGTAGATGTGGTCCTGGCTAGTGTCATCAATCTTAGCTCCACTACCCCACCCGCGATTGAGGTAGAGCTCCTTGATCTGCTGGGAGGTGGCACACCGGGGCGGGATAGCCGGCGGCGTGTGATTGCTTTGGCTGCCGGTCGTTGGCTCTCCTGAAGTCCTCAGCTTGAGGACGGGTTGAGCCACCTGCTTTAGCTTATTACGTTCAGCCTGCTGTTGTTGCGCCTTCTTAAACATTCCCTCTGTAACGTCAGGTGGACCCTCGAGTGGTCGTAGCCACGTCTGCTGTTTGGGCTCGTCATTTTCACGGCCCGGTGCACGGTGCTCCGAGTTTCTGTGTCGGAGCGGCTTGGACGGCGTGGTCGGAAGACTTATCGAGGAGGTGTTCTGGTTTCTAGGCAGAGTCGACGACAGGAAAATTGTTCGAGGCTTGGGTTTTGGGTTGTCTCTCGGCTGACTCGGTCGGTCCGATGGGGCGTTGCTAACCTGCTTAGTATCGCCGGCAAACGACAACGCACCCCCACTAACAGTAGCTCCACCAGTTGTAGGAGCGCCGCGTGTTGCACCCGCCTCACCGGGCTCTTCTTCGCCGCTATCCGGATTCGATTCTTCACTCTCTGAATAGTACACTGTCTGATCTGGCATCACGGAATTGCGTTCGATATCACTCTCTGAGTGCTGCTTGGCGTTGGCGTGCTCCTGAAGTTTCTTTAGCCAGTTCAGCATGTCGCCATGATCAGATGCGGCGAGAGTGAACGTAACTGTGGGATGCTCGAGTTTGAACGCAAATCTGCTAGCGCTACACTCTGGAGCTGACTGTACCGAAAAGCCTGGTAAAAATATTAGACTCGCGGCACGGGCCTCGTGCCGACTCTTAAATAGGTAGAGGTAGGAGCTCTTCAGCATAGCCCATCGTTTATGCCACTTTTTCGGGCAGCTTCGCGGCCGAACAAAAAGCCAGCCATGTCGATCTGCAGGTAGAAGAGACTCGCTGGACACTACGCGACTAGCAAAAATTTTCTTAAGTGGTGAAGGAAGATTTGGACTGGGTGGAACATGTGGAACAGTTAACTTCCGAAACTCCATCTTGGTATGCTTTAGCGGTGGCGTGAGCAAGCGGCGTGTAGTCGCTGGGTCGATTGCCGGCGATTGCTGACCGTGGCACGGATCATGAGAGATACTCCGAGTGACGTGATCTTTCACCGCTTTTTTGCACTTGTGCTGGCCACTTGAAGAACCGTCGACGGTGGGGCCATCAACCAGATCTTCGAAGCTCACTGGGGCCTTACTCACTGTAGGCGATGCCCCTGAGACAGTGGCTCGCCTTTGGATGGTCGTGCGGCGGTTCTTGACCTGCGATCGTAATCGGGATACAACATTTTGATCGGAAGTAGCCTTGTCTTCGGGGGGTAAAAAGGCGTCGTCATCAGCCTCTACTTCTCGTAGCACCCGTGGACTTGACGGTTCGGGTTCAAGGTTGCTAGGAAAACCCTCTTCGGGAATGTTAAGCTGTTGTTTTTCATAGCCAATTTTATTTACAGGTATTTTGTACGGTTTGAGGCAAATAATTTGCCCAAGCAAATTGGAATGACGCGGCCGCTTTTTCAATGTCAAAGTTACCTCGGTCTTACGATCCTGTAGTATGTACGTCAGATGATCGAGGCTCCAGCCGAGTACGGTTTGGTAATTTACCTGGACAATTTCGTCACCCTCCTCAACTTTTGCGCAAAGCTGCACTGGACTCTGGTATTTGACGCTGCCGACAATATGTACACCGCTGTATTTCGACGTGATCTGCATCCCCCAGTCATCATCTTTGGCCGACTTCTTCGCCGTGACGACGTCAAGGGATGCGGGCTGTATTATCAACGAGTCTGAATATTCCTGTACGATGAAGTCACTTAGCTCGGCCAGGCAGAGACATTTCTGCTTGATAAACTCTAATGGGTTATCGGCGAAATGATCACGCTGCGCTGTCGAGGCGAGCTCAAGCGAGAGCTGAAGTACAGTCTTTCTGATCTTGAAATACTTGTCCTGACCCTTGAATGGTGGGCGATCAATCCACGAAATGAACTGCTTCACGGCCACGATTAGTTCCGAGGCCGCAGCCAAAATCTCCGTATTGACTTTCTTTGCCTGTGAGTCGCTCTGGCCCGTCAAAATTTGGACCTGGATTTCATTGTGAAGGCTGCGAGCATGACAGCCCACTTTGAGGGCCAACGACTGCAGGTTCTCCGTGATAAGATTGTAGTGTAACTGCCGTAGGTGATTAACGGCCTCGAGTATTAGTTCCTGGTGGCCGATTTTCGTAATGTTTAGCTTGCCGAGATCGTCCGGCCCGAGCGTCAGTAAGTGATGCCCGTCGATTCGGTTATTCAAGAAAAAGTGTACGTACGGAATGATCATGTTGTCGAGACCGCGCAGCCAGTCGGCAACATGCTCGGGACTCCATTCAGCAATGTTTATGTACGCCATCGCTTATTGTTTTTCGTACACGTCAGCCTTCGACGGAAAGAGTATTAGTACACTTCGAGACAGTGCACGCGATAATGCACTCAGCGAAGATTTCGTTCACCTCTGGCAGAGGGGTCAGTTAACACACCACGTCGGAACGTCACACACACACACTAGTCGGGCTTTCTTCGCTCCTGTGTAACAATGTGAAAATCATGTGCACACATCAATATGAGCATCGTATGCCTAGTAACAAAAACGTTACGGACGCAAGCAGTGTACAATATTCGATCATCTATCCAGCGCTTTTTCGCTAATTGCCCCACCGCTGTGTCCCACGCTACTCAGGCTAGCGTTCCGCCGCGGTTCCACCGTTTTGGTAACTGGTGCAATCGATATTATCCAAGGAATCGACGGCGCCTTGGTAACAACAACCGCGGCATCATTGTCACCACCGCTGCTACGAGCTCTTATGATACTACACTGTACTAAATTTGTAGGTTCTCTTCCTTCTCACGCATTCACGCATAAGTGACATGACGAGCAAGAGAGAGACTATAACAAAAAAAAAAAAAGAGAGCAAAAACAGCTACAGCGACGGTGGCGGAAGCGGTGGCAGTAGTTTCCTCGGGAATTTTCTTGTCATCAATTTGGTTTCTCCGTCGAGTACCTTGCTAATGTAAGTTAGTACCCCTTGGGGCAACCGCATCACCACATCGCGTGTCGCTGTACACGATAAGAATCCTTGGCTAGAGCGGGCAGGTAACTCCCGCAACTTCGACCAGTAAAGGCACGGACGAACACAAACCCACACAATAGTAATAAGATCCGATTGTAACAGGAACACGAGCGTAAACTGAATAACACGACAAGGTAACTTAATTAAGACACAAACTTGTCAACTTCACTTTTTGTTACTACTTCACTGTTACCGCTTGCCTGACGATAGCATGGAATGTGTAATAGTATGGCGCTAGTAACCCGTCGCACATCAAGACGTAACTTCCGTTAAAAGGTTTTTCTGATCTGGAATTAAAATATTTTGGTAGCCAGAGATGATTTGCCGTAGTCGGTGTCAATAGGCACTGTGATTGTAGAACTATAGTCAGGCGCGACAGTGAAGTAGGCGTACCTTTATTTTGTGCTGTCAGACTGCTACCTACTATTTAACAGCACTAAGGTGACCATTACCGCCGGCTAGACTCTTTCTAGGTACGCAAATCGCTATTGAAAGCAACCTAGATTAATAAAGTAAGCCCGCAAGAGCCCCTCGACGCAACGCAGCCAGCGATGCTCTGACGATGTAGCTCATGGGGGCAGCAGCAACAACTCACGACGCTCCTCGGGTTCGGGGCGAGCCGCCGGAGCTACTGGGAGAGAGTAGACACACCAACAGGTTGACTTGGCTAGCGCCGACCACAGTGCGGACAAGTTGCGCTGCCCGCCAAAATTCAAACTCGCTTCGCCTATTGCTCTTCGAGTCCCGCAAAAATAGAAACTATTAAGAGATGAAGCTTTGTCTGAGAGCAGATGAGTCCAGCTGTTGTATAAAAAAAAAAAAACAATAGATGGACAAAATATAACATAACGGAGATCCCTAAATATGATTACTCCATACTGATCTTTAAGGGGATAGCTAAGTCGATTTATTTATTCCTTAACTCGTTAAAAACGTTTTTTCGCAGACGCTTGACTTCAAGTGCCTTGCAACGTCCGGCTATAATGCCCGAAGAGACTCTAAAAGGCACCTTAGCTTGAGAGTCTCCCATGAAAAATTATAATGCCGAATCACCAAGTGCGAGTTCGGCGCCATTATATGTATACTCCTTACGATAACTTCTCACTATGAAGATATTTTCTTTGACAGATAAAACTCGCTGAACTTATTGGCACGTGCAAGCCCTTAGCTTATTTTATGCACATATATAGGTTACTCAAATGTCTTTGGAAGCGGGCAATTGAAACAAAAAAGCCATCATCTTATTGCAGGTTCCTAGTTAGTTTTAGTTATATTTACTCATGCCCGAAAGCTCTTTTTTTTTTTACTGCATTTTGTAGGCCAACCTGATACTGTCCTCAAATCTGAAATATAGATAATGCGAATCTAAAGTAAATATTACGCTGCTTTTTTCAGCAAAAAGCAGCCAGATTGGAGACCGGCATCTCTAATTTGTAGTAAGCTAACCAGTCAACTGTAGATCTGAGAAGCTGCGTTTCAATGTGCTAAAATGATAAAATTTTAGATTATTGATTAATTGTAATAATACAACAAACTATTACGGCAGATGCTTAGGCTTGTTCGTGTGCCTTAGGTGTTTATATAATTAAACGCTAGGCAGAAATCTGATCGATTTGCGAGCATCCTGCGACATTATAATTACGCATTTTTGCAAAGAGCAAATTTTCGGCCAAGCAAATATTTTCGATCCGCGCCTATACTGAATTGAAATTAGCGTACTCTCATAGATAAATGTGACATCCTGGTATAGATTCATTTTACACTGCATATGATCCTATTTCAGATGTACTAATGGTATGATCCTTCTTCGACAGCTAGATAATGCGATACTTGTCAAAGGCATGCTTCACAAACCTTACCGTTATAGCATTTTCGGTACATGTAAAACGGTAGCGTGTGGCCCCTTAAATTGCATTTATCACTACAAAAATTGATCTTATTGCCCTTTAGTCCATGATTATGTACTCCAGCGTTGCCGAAGTCCTATTTATCTGATCAATGAGCTTACATGATGCTATATCATGTAAAAACACGAAAACACTATTTTATGGATGTCCTATGTGATTTTCTTTGTGGTTAAATTCTTGCAGGCCTTTCCTTGTTGTTTGTGAAGGAAGCTATACTGAAGGAATATTAACTTGCCAGAGTTTACAACGTTTTATTTTCTTAGATTAACTTGGCAAACTAAAAACTAATAAACATTTATTAACTGCGTTTTCTATAGCTAAAGTGTTTTAGGCATTTGACTTTATAATATACGTATATTGGAAAGACGAAATTTCATCGTCTACGAAAAACGTCTTTATGGCAGCCGTCCGCTATTCGAAGTATCGCCAATTTGAATAATTATTACCTGAGTTTTATAAAAGTACATATTAGTTTAAGCCACGTTTTTAACCTACAGCTTTCCAAAATTAATTTATAACGGTTAGATACACTAACGACAAAAGTATATCTTATTCCCCGACAAAGAAGAACCAGTAATATCATGTGAAACATGAAAAGAAATCCGAAAATGAGCAGCCTCTGGGGCTGATTGCTCAGACCCAGGTAATTAAAATAAGATCCGTCATATCGCAGACGTAATCTGTTCGCCTACTAAGCTTAGGGACATATCAGATGATTCTAGGTTCGGGACGAAGCGTTGACACAGTCCATTTCGTGATAGAAGTCAGTGATCTAAAGCAATGGTTAGCGCCTCATGTGGAACTCGAAATCTTATTTATTTACTATATGTAATTCAATTATTTAAAATGAGGCCGAACAATGCCAAATACATAATTATCATGCCTAGCGTGAATGCATAAATATGCAGAAAAAAGAAACGTTACGGCTTGTGACATTTTTAGATCTTCCATAACCTATTTGCATTCACACCATTTTTGAACATGGTGACGCCTATCATAGATCATCGTTGAACAAACGATGCATCTGAATATAAATAGCTCACAACGACGCCGAGCGTCTCTTGCATCCACCCCAGTCCAAACAACAACATATAATAGTTATGCAGAGACGAACGAGAACCATGCTCAGCGCATAGACAGCGCATCCTTCGGATACCAAGTCCCGGATATAGCGACTCATCGTTTGCTCTCGACACGTCATTGCATTGATGCAACATGGCCGCAAGCTTGTCACTGTGCCATAATAAGCAGGGAGTAGAACTGATATAAAAGAGAAAAAGAGGATCGCACCGGGAAAGGAGCCCTGATCATTTGGCCACTCCGATACTTGTGCGATTGACCGGTACGATGACGATAGACAGATCTATACACCCAATAGACGATGCTATGGTAGCAAAAGAGAAATGATCAGGTACTTCCCTCATCACCAAGAAACGATTGTTCGGTAGCCTTTTGGCAAGCGACAAGATTGCCCTTTGTCGAATCCTAAAGAGGGCCAATTCTTTGTTTGCCCATCTCTTTTCAGTCTTACCTGTCACTGTTATTGCTACTTTCGCTGTGACCGTGCGCAGACAGAGGCTCATTTTCAGTAGCTCAGAGCATGCGGCACAAAGAAGGCGGCTGAGTTGCGCTGAGTTGGATGGGGTCTTCTGCAGTGTTGATGTCTTTAGATCCTTTACAGTGTCTGAGACAACTGGCACCATGTAGAAAAGCAAAACCGTGCGGAGAAACGAACGAATGGTAAATAATGGCAATTTCCCTTTTTCTGCTTTTTTCTGAGGAAAAAGGTGGCGATGAGTGAGCGTTCAGCACTAGGTGCCAGAACTACGCGCCTCTACAGAGGTTACAGAAGATCGTATTGCCAAGTGTGTGTTGATCCTTCGGAATCCGTCGAGATGACGATGCCACAGGAGAGGAGCAGCCGCTGTGACTTCCACCGTCGACAGAAGCTAGCAAGCAAAATAGAATAAAACTAAGAAGGAGGCCAGGCCGCAGGTAGCTACACCAAATCATTTCTACGGACCGCCAGGATACGGGTTCGCTGATCGGTAAAGATGCTTAGTCTATTCTAAAGACCATCACCGTATGCCGTCGTGGTCAATACCGTCATTATTTTGATCAGCTATAACATCATGTACCACAGAAGAAGAAGAAGACGACAATGAATAGATTCAAACGTAGGCTGAGGTTTTTGAAATGGAAAGTTGGTCCGTATAATAAACAGAATCGTTGTGATCGGCCCCTGCAGGCGGCCATGTGTAGGCCCACTGATTCGAAAACAGCTATACTGCAAATATAGTGTCCGGATGGAAATAACTCGTTTTTCAATTACCTAATTTTTCTATGTCCAAATGTAGAAAAACATTTCTATTTGCGTGGCAGAGCTTACTCTACAAAATATGAGCGGTCCGTAGATAGCTATTCGTAAGAATACACGAAAATCATTTATCAAATCTCTCTAAGAGAATACTAAAAGATGTTGCCATTAAAATGGTTTGGCGCTGAACAGATACTCAGAGAAATTGTGGTACTCGAGCAAAATTCGAGTTCTACGTTAAGAACGACTGACAACAGGAAAATAAAATAAAATGAGAAGAGCAACAGGTAATTCGTTCAAATAATAATGAGATAGTATGTGCAGTACGGTTACAATGTTAATAATTCAAGAGATCGTAATAACTGGGTACGTTTCTTTGCGTGATTACAAATGGTAATGTCTGCCGGTACATTATCTCACTCAGGCGACGACCACGGCGGTAACACGGTGGATTTCGTGCCATTTCTTCAGCTCTTGCATTAACGACTTCTTCCGCCCAGAGTCTCTGTAAGAATGTAGCTCAGGGGGCAGCAGATGCGCTTCCAGTCGATCTAAAGGTTTGCGCAAGAATGTCGTAAATCCCCAGTGAATGGCATTCACTGCCGCTTCTTCTGAACAGCGAACCGTTTGCCCCTCACCATTCCCGCAACTTAGTTGGAGCGCAAATATTAATTAATATGTTAAACGGCTATCTCATATATCGAAGACTGCGTAAGTACACGCGTTCCTAGAGATTTGGGTCATCACAGCATCCAAATTAAGTTGAATCTCCGTATGGAGTTTATTTTATTTACGGACGACTGCTAAATGTTTCTATTAAGGGAATATACCGATACAGTACTACGGACACGGCAGCACATACGCGGCGCTGTCCTACACTTCGGTGGATTAATAAAGAGAAAGAACTGAAAAGGAAAACTCTGGAGTTACTTGACTTGAATGCAAGCGCTGATGCAGACCTGCGTAACGCAGCTATAAGCTTAAAATATTTCGAGAAGTGGCTTTAAAGGATTTGAAAATTAAGCTTTTTGAAAGGATCTCAGCTCGAGGCAAGGTTACAACGGTCAAAAGGTGGACGCTGAAATAGAAACTGGCAAGTTTCAAGATGGCATACTACCACTATAAGCTCTAACGTCTATAACGGAAAAAGTAAATTAAGTTTGCTCGAAAAAGGCATATACTTGCCGACTACCGCAGGCGCTAAAAGGCCTAGCAAAATCGTCTCGATAACGCAACAATATAGAAGTAAATCACGGCGGGGCCATAACTATTTTGTTCCTCATAATAAACGAGCTTGGAAAGCAAGAAACAATTTCAAATGCATGACAAATTTCACGCTGTAATACTGAGTCCACTCTGCAGTCACGTCAGTCACGTTACTGCTTATCACCAAGGTGAACAACAGTCACCAAATCATTTCGCAGTAACGACTAATGCTTGCCCTCTTTATTTTAACCACAATACCGGGCTTATAGAAAAAAAACAAACAGTTGACCATTCATGATAGAACCTTTTTTTTTTTTCTTCTTTTTAAGTTCTTTAAGCTGAATTCTGGGTGGCACAGTCTAACCATCCCAGGGACTCCTTCAGAACGCTCACATAAGCGTTGTAAGATTGCAGTCGAGCATAGTATGGCGCCAACGAGGCATTCGTCGTTCTGCTCGACGCTGTGTCATTACTTAGAAAACAATGCTTGAAGTTCTTATTCATCTAATTTTCGATATTTTAACACTGACCCTTGTCGTTTGGAGTAATTGTTCCCTTCACTAATTATTTTTAATCTTCCTAACAACGCTATTGTATTGTCATACGCGGCCTTCATCTGTCTCGCAATTTGCTCTTATCCGCTTAGTTGTAGGATTAAGCTTTTCACTAATGTACCTACAGGTCCTTCTAGTAGTTATCTGATGGAAACCAGTACCGCATCGCTATTTTACGGTGACGTGATAGCAGCCATTATCAGTAACGAACTCGTTGAAAACTCTAATTCGTTATTATCGGCGCTCATCTTCGACGCTAAACTATGCTTCTCATATCCATTCATCAGCTTTTGGCATCGATCAAAAGCAAACCAAGGCAGGTGTCACAGATGTACCTTTTTTTTTTTTCAGGACATTCATTTTCTACTGACCGCGCAACGAAACTACAAAAGGCATATCAAGAGATAGATGAAAACGCTTTTTTTTTTTTTTTTTTTTTTTCGAATAGCGTCTATGATACAAAACAAGCAAACAGTGGAGAGTTTAACCAGAAAAAAATCTCGGAAATTATGCGTAAACCTAGTACGTTTTACATGGGGCAGCCGGTCACAGTTGCAGTTCTGCTCCTAATTGGACTCCCAAGCTGCGACTGACTTTTCTTGCGCTAAGAGTTTCATCGAAGGTTCTGCAATTTGAGACGAGTCACCATCGGCGATTTAGATCCATGGGGGTGTAGATTCAATGAGTTCATTCTTCAGAAACATTAAGTGATAATTCAGTTGTATGACACGTGTTTATAGTGCCTATGCTTACAGACGCTGAAACCACCGAAAAATAAAAACTCCATAGTTTACGCGCTGCTTATATGCTCTATGTTGTAAAATCTCTATTAGATGTCGATGAAAATTATAATTTTGAAGTAGTGAGCGGGCAAAGTCATATGTATTCGACAATTAGCAACCGAGCGTGCATAACCTATTAGGCCTATTCAGGTCGATCCGGAAATGTGTCGTTCTAATGTAAACTTGAAACGCTCTCGCCCTTTGACAATAGAAAGTAGCCGGAATTAGCTTGTGTGCAGCAATAAACACGTGGTCCTTCTATAATCTATACGGCTTCAATAGTAATAATCGTACTCAGTGACTGATGATGCTATGCTAATGATATTTAGGTCTCAATGCGAAACGGGACAGACGTGCCTAGAATATTCAGATTCTCTACTCTATCTAGAATAAACTATTTGAATCAAACGCGTTCTTTTATAACGTGAAACTCACAGTTTTTAAAAATTTCCAAATGATACACTTTACGTGTTCCACTAGTTTTAACGTGACAATTCAAGGGACAGTCTTACCAAGAAGAGAACTTTATGCTTCACTTAAATATAGCTTAGCAGTGAAAATCACAAACGCATATCATTAGATCAGGAACTCCATTATAAACTTTAATTAAAAAAAAACGTCTGCCTTCGTCAACGATTACGTAGTAAATACTTAGTTTATTGCTAGGAGACTTCTATAAGAGGGGGATTGTCCTCGACAAGGAAAATTATGTAGGACAGATGGGAATTTCGTTCTCCAATCTTGGAGCATGTGGATTCCTGATAAGACGCCCACTAATATTTTACTAGAAGTACCATTTGTATATTGTAACAATAAATATTCAAGGAAATTACTATTTGTTTCGAATCTTTAAAAGTAGTAAAAATAGTTGTTGTGCAGTACAGTCAACTGGTTTTTGTTACCTCCCTGACTTTAGCCACGCAGAGAACTGTCCATTGAGGCCTTCGAAGGTGATTTTACGCAATTTAGTTATTTAAGTATTATAATCCATGCTCGGAAATTTTTCACAGCCCGCAAGCTGTGAGATGTTAACAACGATTAGCAAACGTAAGGGTCTAGCGTGCATCTCGTCGCTATAGTACAATATTTGCGAAAGTTACCAACTTGCGGAAGTTCTCTGGTGTCGAATCTGGAAAAGCCATCCAAAATCCTATATTAAAATATTGTTAAAATTAATTGATTGAACTCCACGAAGGTACAAACATGACTAGCCTTCCTTATTTGAGATGGGTAAAATCTATTAAAAATGGGCAAGACTAGAAGCTCTGTTGTCAGACGCGCTAATATATAACCTAAGACAGACCTCCGATTCTGTGTTCAATGTGAGCTTCAAGCACTAACTTATAGTTAGTTCTGGATGTTGTAAAAGACCTTTCCATAATTGGCATGCTAAAAAACAAAGGTGGTTCAGTGCAAATAAATGTAATGTATGTCGATTACAAAGTTCCAATCAGCAATAGTCCTATTTTCAACTAGAAACACAGCCGTCCAAGCCGAGAAGGTTATCTCTATCAAATTTTATTGACTAAATCTTGCCTGGATTACAGTATTAACGTCATTCTAATCAAACACATGTCCTCTTCTAACTAGTTAGTCAAGTAGAAATAATAACTGTGATACGCAATCAAAACCCACATATCCGTTACATAGAGCCTAAAATACCTTAATTAATATGCCGCTTATGAGACAGCGCTTCTTCAGTATGTTAAAATGTAGCTCTCGTCCTGCTTTACTGTAGTCCTGAATAATGAATAATAAACCGTCACATTTTTATTTAGTGGTGTCTTATTTACTACTACTGTGAGAATGTGTGAGTGGCTATAGTCGGTTCACCTATCGCCATAAAACTTAGCGACGCTAGGATCCCGTGAGGAAAACTTTACTCCTTTGATTAAACTTGACTTTTTACAGGCAGATAGTTTCCTCAATAGGTCATGCCAGTCCAGCACAAATAATCAGGGAGTGGCAATACCAAAAATGTTGGTACAAACTTAATTCTCTTCAAGATGTAGGATGAGATAAGATGTATAACACTGTTTGAAAAAGCACTTTATATAGGATGTTTGGTTTTGAATTACCTACATTACCCCTTTGGGTAAATGATCTCATTAAAAAACACTATTATTATGATCAAAGCAGCAATATTACCCGAAAAGGACCAGTCGACTGCAAAATGCAAAACAAAAAAGCACCGTTATACACGCAACGCTTCTACCGCAGAAATCTACCGCGTTGCTTGGGGCGTTGTTACAATTAAACGTTTAACGTGCGCGTTATATTTCGCATCCACGCAGCCTCCATATGACTATCATCGTGGTAAAGGCAACGACCTATCATGTACGACCACATCAAAATCGAATTTATTGATTTCTATACCCAATGCAAACACGAAGTCAAGTAGGTCGGAGCCGCAAACATTCGGCAAAAAAAAAACCAATTTGAAAAGGAGTTATCGACCACACTGGGAATTCTCATCCTCTCCCAAAAATTAGACTAGGAATTTTTAACAGGGCCTGTTCCTTGTAGCAATCGCCACACCCCCAAATAGTACGGCATACGTTTTTCAAAGTAGGTTTCACATTAGATAACCGCAAGCCTATTCCAACTATCTGAACAACAAATTGCACCATAAAAAAAAAGCAAATATCCTTTCCTCGCACTCCTCCCCATTCGGCCCGTTCCGCCCGGTTGCTGTTGGACCTTTGTAAACATTTGGCCGCCGAAAAAATGCGTTCATCCGTTCTGCTTAGCTAATATACGGCGCTCAATCGCTGCACTAAAGCACAGGCTCCTATCGACCAGACCAAAAGATCAGCCGTTGTGGGAAAAGGTAAATCGATCAAAGCAAGCTACTGCCACCGCTGCTGCTATCTAGTGAGTGTTAGATGGCAGATTTGACCGTCGAAGGATTCTTATCGGCGTGTTTCTATTGTAGCAGTGGTTAGTAGGGGCTTTGTGCGTGTCTGCCCTTTCGTATCGCAAACGAAGTCAGCAGAGAACGGGCAAGGGAGAGAGGGAAAAACCAAGCTGAGAGACCAACACAGTGAAGAAAACAGGCAACTTTTGTTTTGTTCCGTACGCTGCAGCGTTACTTCTCGTTCGTTGCTGGTGTGTCCGCGCGTCCCTTTCAGCTTTGCTGGCAGTACTACTACCGCCTGCTCACGGCAGACGGTCGCTACCGCTGCCTGCCACTGCCTAAATTACTGTTACTGGAAGCCTTCTTCCTCCGGGTGCCGTCTAGCTTTGCGGCAGCAACAACACTCGTTGTTAGCAGCACGGCCAACTTGCTGCTGCTGCTGCTGCCGTTGTTATTGTTGCTGCTGCTGCTGCTGTTGTTGTTGTTATTGTTGTTGTTGTTGTTGTTGTGGTGGTGGTGGTGGTGGTGGTGCTGCCGCTTGTGGCAGCCAGCAGCATAAGTTGAGTTGTTGTTGTGTTGCTCGTAGCAGAGACTGCGGTGTTGATTTTTGTTGGTGACGGACAGAGGGAAGGCCCGACGGCCGGCTGAGACCGCTGCTACGCTGCCGTCGCTTTGGAACGCAACGAAGGCGAACCTGTGCCGCTGCTGTTGCTGTTAACTCTCGTTGTTGACTGCTGTGGAGCGCCAGCCAGCCAGTCAGTCGTTCGGCCTTAGCAACCAACTAGGCACGACAGATAAATCGTCATCTTTGCTGTGTAAGTACTGCTAGCACTGCTGCCGTTGTTGCAGCAGCAGCAGCAGCTTTCTCAAACGTCGTAGCCGACAACGCGCTGCTGCTGCAGCAGTTAGTGCTGCCCCTTGGGCTTGTCCTCAAACAGAAAGGGTAGACAGGGGCAAAAACAACTGCCGTCAGTAGTTCAACTGCTGCTGTTGCGGCTGCTGCTGTGACAACGACTGTGACGACAACGTTTGAACGGCCATTACGCACACAGAGCAAATTATCTGTCTGCCATCAGCTCTTCATTCGTTTGTTCGTTCATAAGTTAGGACAGCTTTAACTAATTGATTCTTGTGTAGAAAAAAGTGGTGATAGAAGGACGTGCTCCTGCCGCCGCCGCCGCTGCTGTTGCCGCAGCCACACATTCCTGCCGCCTTTTGTCCCCGTCCGTCCAGTTGGTTGATCTGTCTACGAATTGAGTCAGAGCTGCAATATCCACATACCACTATAATACGATTACAGGAGAACTAAAACAGGAGCGGGGACTGATTCAGCGAGTTGAACAAAATAACTAACGATAGCAAACAGATTATAATATAGTCAGCGTGCCGAAACAAGTCGCTAACAGCAGTCAAGACTGTTCAGTGACGGCAGTATACGTTGCTGGAGTCCGTGCGCAACAACGCAAGTGTCGTTACCACCATCGCGAAAGGTGAGTACATGAGCAAAAATGACTGGTAAAAAAAATTGGGGCTGTTTGCTTCGTTGGTTGGGTTCTGAAGTTACTTGAGATAGACTTTCGAAAGGGAAGATAAAACGAAAGCTAGATCGAGCTCTCGTGGTTGTTGTTAACACAGTATCATATTCATAAATGTACGCATAACATCCGACGAAGAGTGACTGGGTGGTAACTAAAGCTGATTCCTAAATTCATAAATACACCGAAGTAGACGGACTGTCTGGCCGTTGTGTCGGTGCATCCTCACTTTCTCTCCCTCTCTTTCTCTGTCATTGTTTCTCTTTCTAACTCTCATATATATGTGTGAGTGTCTGTATAATATGTGCTGTTTGGTAGGAAAAAGAATAACAGCTAGGCTCAGGAGGCGGACAATATTTAAAGTTGTAGTGTAATACCGCAGTTAACGGGAAGAAAGAGCTACTGTTCGATTCCTAATGAAGTAGACGACCTAACAGTGGTTTCGTGCTTACCTGCTGGTAAGCAGTTACGATGCCATTACCAACGGAAACTAACGACCATTTTGATTTTGACAAGGAACTGACAAGTTGCCTTGTTCCCGTTGGCTGTCGCGCTACTCTTGGTAATGAAGGTTTTTACGTTCAAAGCTTCGCATCATTGGGGAGCTTGCCAACGGTGAAACGGTGAGAATTGCTTCTCTTCCTACCACTGCTATGCCACTGTGCTAAAGTATTGAAGACATGACTACTACGGAAAGGACAAAACGCATTCGAGATGGATCTGGCGGAATAGGGCAATATAGTCTAGCCAATCCAACGGTCCTAAAGGTTACCTCTTTAGTTCTTTCATTGTACCAATTGAATATACAAGACGGGCGATTTACGCTAGTGACATCGCTGTTGATCAACTTCCTTGTCAGGATAACCCGACGTCCTCGTAGTTGACTAGCTCGAAAGCACCGAGTAGTGCCGTGTGCTTCAGCTGCTGCTACCAACGTGCCTCATTTGTAGTCAACGGGACAGACTACAGCCATTTGTTTTGATCTACACAGCCCAGTGATGTCGAAGTTCTACCTTCGATTCAGTCTACAATTGTAGTAAGATTTGGAAAAATGGTTTCATAACCTGATGTGACAGGCAGTATTGCGAGCTCTATTCAAACAGCGTTCCCAGCGCTATCAGATGTAACAGTATCGCAAGCAACCAGCTGAAAAAGACCGCTTCAATCGAACCGAACAACTGACCTGTCGTTGCGTTGTAGTTGAGACAAATCGGCGCTCATCGTTCGATGCCTTGGCATTGTTCAGTCACGACAATAGACATAGCTCCTATCGCCTTTCTATGTATGGGTCGGTGTTAATAAGTTGGCGACAATGATTAAGAACGACACTTAGTTATCAGCAGTATTGACTTTTTTGTCATTCGTGTTTGTTTGCTGCTTCAAGCCGTCTCATCTTGTCTGGTAAGCAAATCGATAAGTTTTCCAGCGCTGCTGCCGACGCCATCGCTGGCTGGATCGCCGACTGGTTCTTTGGTGGTTTGCTCAATATGTATGTCGAGTGGCGTTTGCTATGGACTCGAATGCGATAGGAACTCCAGTAGTCAGCATGCCAATGCAGCAACAGTATTTTTTAATCCCAGTAATTTTGTTTTTAACGTTTTTGGAAGAGCGCAGGAATTGCATGTGTGTAGTATAGTCAGCAGATACTTTGCTGAGCATGAGTACGCAATGATAGATGTGTCTGTGGGTTTGTCGGTGCCTATGCGTAGATTTGTGCGTAAATCGAAACTGACTATGACAACGGCTCGTTCTACCATTGATTGTCTATCTGAAAAGGTTTGACACTGCTTGCCAGTGCAACTGAAAATATTGTAAAATAGCTATCTACGGCGAACTAACGGTTGCCATAAAAGTAAGTGAATGAATGTTAGAAAAACGTATCTTTACTAATGCTTCGGGTGGTTACACGATGTCGAATACGATTACAGTTGGAAGCATTTTGTACCCGTTTTTTGGGGGCCTTCCGTGTTTGTTAATACCACTTGTGCCAGCCACTTAACTTGATTTTATCGTTTCAGACCTGCTCGTTGTTAAAGTCCCTCATTTTGTTATGAACCGAACTATGGAATTGGTTATTTGTTTTTTTTGCTGGCGATCATAGCAAGACGCAAGTCCAGTCGGAACAGTCGCTTTTCCCGTCACCGTCAACTGGCATTTTTGTCTACTTAAAACATGTATATCTGGATATTTAGGAGTGCACGCGCAGAGACGAGCCGCACTGTTTTTCATTCATTAATCAAATTCATGATTCTATTGTCAAAAAAAAAGAAAATTAAGAACATGCCTTTATGTTGCAATAATTGTTGCCCATAATGTTGCCAGCCCTTATGCCTCATTGTGCAGAGAAATTAAATCTCGCTTAATTTTTCGTGTATTTTTCTTATTATGATTCCAGTCACTCATAAAGATTTTCTATAGATAGTATTCTGGGATCGTCGCTCCATATGTCCGCTATTGTTCAATTCCTGATGGGTAAACTGCTCTTCGAGTCACCGACAGGTATATTAATCAAAGAAATACACGAATCCGATGAACATATCAGATGGTAACTTGTGGGTCTCCGGATTCGATAGCTTTGATCGATGTGTACCTTTCCGCCATGTGGGAACAACAATATTTCTCTTCCTAGATCCTCTAGCTGTAGAGAGTCGAATCAAAGTTTTTATTTAAATGAATCGAGAGCTTGACATTACTTCTCGCTGAGGCTCTTGTCGTGTGATTGATTTTTTTGACAATTTTTCCGAAGCAAAAGAAAATGACTAGAAATCTCTACCAACTTGACTAAGAACTAAAAGGTCAAAAGGTTAATGGCAAAAATAGGACGGTAGACAAGTAAACTGTTAATTTCTAAATTTGTGACCCAGAATAGGGTCGTTGTCGGATTTACTTTGTCCTTGAACACACACCCGTTTTTCGAGCTACGTCCATCGCTTCCAATTGCTCGAAATTCAATTTCGGAGGGTGAGATATATGGCCAACCTATAATCCGTGTATTGTCACTGTGTTCGTCAGTTGTCGATAATCTCCCACTTAGCAGCACGAAAAAATACTTCAAGCCGGCTCTCATGATATTGACGCTACACTTACGGCTAAAGGAAGATGTGCATGCTTGCAGCTCATTGTTATTCGCGAACCGGTAGCTTTTCCCTTATGGAAAAGTGTCCATAGCGAATTTCGTACGGCCACTAGTTACCCAACCGCTGCAACAACGACTATTATTACTGGACTAGCCGCGTTGCCTTCCTAGTCGCCTCTGCAGCAGCGTTAGCGCCATTGTTGTTGTAGTCATCGTTTTTATTGTTGTTGCGGCTGCTGCTCCTGTTGTTGTTGTTGTTCTCTCAGTACTAAAGATGGCGATTCCTTTACCAGCCATCTTGGTCCGGCCTCGCCTCTAGGCTTACGTTCCAGCGGCGCAGCATTCTGTGTTATTCCGTAGCCTGTAGATGGGACGACGTATTATATTCATTACGAGACAGTGTCAATGCGAGAGGGATTCAGTCTACGTGCATATACATGTGACGCGAACGCGTTATCCTAACAGCTTCGCTGTTCGCCAGCGCCTCCGCTTTGTCATGACACAGACACCGTATGGCAGCAGCCGCTGCAGACATATTTTTGGTGGTTGTACAAACGTGCAGTTAGTACAAGTACGGCATTACAGGTACAACCGCGGGCAATGGTAGGCTAAAGTGAGATCGATTATTCGACTAGCCAGATCATCTTGTTGGGTTGACTTGTCGATCAAAGACTATAACAGTAGAGCAACTGATCGAGATCAAGCTTACAGCAAAGGGCTGAATTCTCTACTGGCATTTTTTTTTGGCAGTCACTGCCACTATTGTTTCTGTGGACGACGTCTGCCATTGACAGCTTCTCCGCTGGTGGACGCTAGCGGCGTCATGACAACAGCCGGATAGATCGGATAAGGATAAATAGACGGACGAGCGGAAACACAAAAATCAGTGTTCGTCCGTTGTCATCCTTATTTTTCCCTATTTTTCGTCCATTATTTGACTTCTTGTTGGCTGATCATCGATAGTTATTGTCCTCACCTAATAATGTTAGCCTTCGCTTTCTGTGCTCCTTCGCCTCCCGAGAAAAAGAATAACAGATTGTAGCCGTCAACTACTGGTGAATGGAATCGCCTATACTCGTACAACGTTCCCAGCTTGACCTACGTTGTTCCGAGACGAAAGAAGGACAGAAGGGAAGGATTTGTTGGCTCAATAAATCGTAGGACCGAAGAAACGGGACAGACGAACGATTGAGTTTTCATAAATTATTGTATTGATTGATAGATATGGAAAGTATCCATTTCGGTGCGACGCATATATAAAGGATGGTTCGTTTTAGTCGCTAACAGTACTAAAGGCTATTTTTGAGCTATAGCTAATCAGTCATCTTAGACGATTTATGTTTAAGACACAGTAATTTAGATGGTAGCATATAGTTGGCTGTTAAGTGTTGGCCACTGTAACTGAGATGTTAGGAGACCTGATCAGTGATTGTGATTTTGTTTTTGTAGAAAAACTAGCAGAATTCAGGGTCTCTTTGATCATTTAATGCGAACTCTAGTAAGACGATGTGCAATTGCTACACTGATTTTCGTAATTATAGCACAGCATTTGCAATGGATAAGTTAAGCGTCTAAGTTTAAGCAGACGTCAATGAATTATCGACTGAGAACTGCCGTTATCTTAGCCATTTAACATAACGGTCAAAGTGATAGCTGTCACTATCACTGGCAACCGTTTGGCGTACCGTATTGTTAAACATAACCCATTTTATAACCCACAGTGCAGCTTATTGTACAGCACGTACATCCGCAGCTACAACAGTTTGTTTCTGTTGCAATTTCGATTTATTCTGAATTTACCAACAGCTGTTACTAATATAATAGCGTAGAGCTTACTTGCAAAAACCTTCTATTTTCGTACAAATTAGGGGTTCCGTGAAAGTTTAGTAGAAGTATACGGTTCTCGACCATAAGTTAGATCACACAGTCATAGTGACATAGTAAAGACTCGATTGGCCATTTCATATCATAGGCTTGTTCCGTTACTGGTCACTGATGGCAAAGTGGTCGTTGTTCCTTTCAGCTAGTGAGGATGGTTTCCCGTAAGAGCTAGGTAGTTCAGTTACTTAAACGAGGGACCTGCTTCGACTTCATTGACGTAGCAAGCCTGCAACGCCAATGGATTCTGCTTATTAAAGCCGGTATTCTCCCTTGGTATATAAGTTGACCGGCCGTCCTGTAGAGTCCATCGTGCGCTGAAAGTCAATGGACAGCGTCGATCTCAATAAACGTTGCGATGTGCGTATGTGCACATGAGGGTAATACTCACAGTCCTTGGTTGCAGATCGTACCAATATTTGCATGGTTAAAAGAGGGTCAAGTGGTGAATGAGCTTCAACGAATTGCGTCAAAAAAGAGAAATATCATTGACGATGAGTTGCTAATTTTCCAGTTGGATGTATGGGCTTACCTAATTGTCCATTACCGAGACTACGCCAACGACATGCGAGCGGTGGCTATCACTGACCAGAACTAGTAATAATAATGTATAGCTTGTCGTGTCATGTACTTTTTATCAATGCTATGTTCTAAATGCTGTAGAATTGCCTCGTAGAGTAGGCCATACATTTCCTTAAATGACCACTTTGCGGCGTTGAATAGGCAAACACAAACAATTCGACTGCAGGGTCACTCTATTTAGGCTGTAATTATATAGAAGTGGTACTATATTGGCAAGTAGAAATATCATCGAACGAAGAGGTCATGAGTAAATGATGAGTTCGGTTGGTTAAAAACTGTCCCATGTGAATGCTTTCCGTGATGTTAAGATAGTAAATAGGAACTACATTTTCAAGGTGTCTACATACATTTTTTATAATAAATATTAAGCGTACGTGAACTTAGACATTGTGCTTTGAAAATCACTTTCTCGTTGGGCTCAACTGTAGACTTATTCAATGACACTAAGTTTGGTTGCTATTAGCTGACCATTATCCTTGCACTCTGTATGGCTTGTTTAATGGGTGAAAACATCAATCGTCTTATGAATGAGTAAATACACTAGCAAATATATAAAGCAGCATATCCTATGCGACATATAATGATGATCGAATTGTGCTATTCGAAGTTGATGGCACTATCGATAAAAAAAAAAACGAGCAGTTTCGACAGATTTATTACTGTAAGTGTCTTATTGCGAAAACTAGGTGCTATTAAGTAGCAGCAAACATTCAACGAAGTAGTTTATTTTTGCGTGAGCTTCAACGTTTGAATGATTAATGAGTCCACTTAGTATTCAGCTTTCCTAATGATAGCTCATATAAACCACTTTGTGCTGAAGGGCTTTTAATCATATAAAGGCTACTTGCAATATCATTCATTCTTCAGCTCTGATTTCAGAACTAAAATCACTAGTATACAAATGAACGCAGAAAAGTGTACAGATAGTGCCTTTGAACTATCATCTGTACACTATTCTCGTATGCGAACCGCTTATATTGAGTACGTATGTGGCGTTTCCTTTGAAAAGTTGTACTTGTTCTTCCCTATATAGCAATCCTTATTTTACTGCTATACGGTATACCTTAGCTTTATGCATTCAATCTATTGTATTAAGGCAAAATCGGTAGCAAGTCTTCTTGTTCTCGTTTGCTGACCCGTCTCATTTTGTAGAATGGACGCCTTGTGGGAGGTGTTGACGCCGGTCAATGTCGTACTGTCGATAGTCATCGTGGTACTTACGTGGAAGCTGTTCGGGCCCAAACGGGAGGAGCCGGAGACTGCCAAGACAAAACCACTGCCCAAGATGAAACGGCGCGATATGACGGTAGAGGATCTCCTAAATTATAATGGCGACCCGGCCAAAAATGATGGTCGCATACTTGTCGCCGTTAACGGCACCGTTTTCGATGTCACGCGGGGCAAGCACTTCTATGGGCCTGGTGGTCCTTATCACGCGTTCGCTGGTCGGGATGCGTCGCGTATGCTAGCCACGTTCAATGTGAGCACGCCCGACGGGCCCGTCAAATACGACGACCTATCGGACCTGAAGAGCTCGGAAATGGAACAGGTTAAAGAGTGGTATCTGCAGTTTCGGGAAAAGTACGATATCGTTGGCAAGCTGCTAAAGCCAAATGAGGAGGCGACCGAGTATTCAGATAATGACGAGCCGACAGACGTCTCCAACACGTCGCCGGCAAAAGAACCAAAGGAGCAAGCGCAGCTGGCTAAACAGGGGGCGAAATAGAATTATGCTATCTCCACGAAAACTTGATGTTAATCCAGTCCTAACCAATCCCTACTGACAGAGCCTGAACATCCAGCACACCCCACTCGTGTTCTAATACCCCCTAATTTTAATGTCTTCCTATTCCGCCTTTCACAGTGGTAGAGAGTTTTTACTGCTCTAACTGCTACTGTTGCAATCGCTCGACCATTCATCGATCCTCAGAATTATCCTAGAAACAATTTTCAGGTATTACCCTGTCTCGCTCGGTTAGCAGCGCTTTAGGCTGGTGTATCCACGCCCCTTCAACATGCAAACCGCTTATTCTTGGCCGGTCCCGTCCGGGTGAAATAAACAAAAATGATAGCACATACTAATACATGGCACGATGGGGGTGATGGGAGAGAGGTGAAATGGTGATGCCAATAACACTACATCTACACCAAAGGGTATATCGTGTACAGGACGACCTGACGAAACGCAAAATACCCATGTAGATATGACGTTATTGTTCTGATGTGTCCAATGTTGGCAACAAGTGAACAACGCCAGGTGCAGCTAGTTGGGCTGTGGCCTTGAAGAGATGCACTATTAATGGCGGCTAGATTAAGGCCACTGTCATCAGTACGATCCCTACCATTATAGCAGTATCTCGATTCCTTTCTATGATATGTGTATGTATTAATAGCATAGATAAGTAGGGGCGGGAAGTAAAATCGAGTATAATAACATTGGATGGTATAATGGATCATGGCAGTGTAAGAAGACCCACTTTATATAATAATTATTATTAGTAATATTCCTAAGAAAATATCACTAGAAAACTAGCAAAAAAATCATAGTAGTGGAGGATTCACTAAAAGGTGACGATTATTAAGGCGACAAGAAAAGGCGGAGGTAGAAGTTTAGCGGTGGTCAGACGCTAATGGTTGAATAAGAGCTGAATAATTGCCACTGTACTGCGAATATTTTTACAATTATGTAATCTATTAACTATTCAAATTGTCATGTCGCTACTTGTTATATACATATATTTCTAGAAGCGTTACGACCTCGCCTTACCTACGTTTTCTTCAATGGCAGAAGCTGTATAGGCTGCCTGTAGCAGTTAACGACCTCTGCTAGCGGTTAATAATTTAGGTTGATAACGTGTCCGCCGTAAGATTTTAGAGAGAAACAAACAAAAAATTATATATATATATAAGCGGAAGCTGTAACTTTATTCTGGTAACTTTGGGAAAAAGCGACAGAACGGTAGAATCAAATAGATAATTATAAAATAAAAATTGATTACATGTACTGCATAAGATACTTGAGTGGGATAAACATTTATCAGAGCAAGTACGGGATGGAAATACAGGAGCATTTGCGAAGATCTACTGCTATAAGAGATGCATGATTGATGGGTCTGCTCGGTAGACACAACCTTTGGCAACGTGGGGACCCGTTGGGAAGCAACTCTTGACAGAGAGCGATGCGTCGTTCTAGTCGTGGCGACGTACAGCACACTTTCAGAAAGGATGAAGAAGAGGCAGGCCTGACGAGAGATAACAGATATGTGCAATCAAATTCGACATCGACGGCAAGGTGCATCACGCACATAAAAACATTCTCGTGTATCAAATTAGCGGAAACTGACAGGTGGCGATTTTATGCAGAAGCGAAAAGTAACTAGACGGGTCTTGTATAATCACGCATGAACTAATTAGCCTCTCGGAATTCGAAACCAACGACAGGCGCACGGGCCTCGGTAACACACGACAGAAATATTCACGAATGGGTACTTCAAAACCGGATACCTCGGAGTTTTAGTCGAGATCAACATTTCAGCACAGAGAGGACAGACTGTGTCCAAATCAACCGATTCGTGTCTCAGCCATAGCCATCAACGTCACTGGAAGATACATATATATATACTTAAACATGAGGTACATAAGTGAAATACTATTGCATTGGGCTTGTTAGTAAAGCAAGCAGATACTTTCTTCCACGTGATGTAATGATTGAACTGAGGATACCTCGCACGGATGAATATAGAGAGCTCATAATTATAACACTCAAAATACTAACAAGTAACGCTATTTAGAGGAAGGAGAAAACTATAAAAGGTGTTCCTGTTATGCCACCAAATGCATTCAACCTGGTGAACGTAACGATAATAATAACAATCAGGCAATCAACATATAAAAATGTATAGGAGAGTGGCAGAATTTTAGACTATATATATATATATATATATATATATATATATATATATATATATATAACTAAAGTTAAGTTCTTAAATTAAGCATAGGCAACATTCTCACAGTTGATGCTGATGGAAGAAGCGGCCTTTAAAAACAAATTCCTCTTGTACAAGTCGTAGTGAAATGGAGGTGTTTATGCACTAAACAAAAAAACAATACGAAAAACGTTTGAACAGACAAAAAATCGAGAGTTGGAAGTTTCTGCGCATAATTATAGTAAACAGATTACTTTAAGAGAATGTGAATGGAAAAATAAATAAAAGAGCATTATTAAAAATACGATAGAGATGAATGAGAAAAATATGAGACGCAAAGTGACAACTGGGCTGAGTAGCCCACAGCTTTGTTCATTTGAGTTATGCAATGTCAAATGTATTATTGTATAAGTGGTCTGGATACTCTATGATCAACTATCTTCTCTCCTCATCAGTACTCTATGTTCAGCCATACATCTTCTAAATTTGTTCGAACGACAAATATTTTACCGACGCTATCTCTTGACTGTTTGTTTGTTGCTCCTCCCTGAGCGAATTCTTTGCTGTTAGCTTTTAAAAACGAAACTCTCATTCATGCGTAGTTAGATACGGATACCTCAATGTTTAGACACAAATGCACTCACGCACACATACCGACACACTGAAATGTTCCAGTTAAGCAAAAAAAAAAAAAGAAAAGCATCTAATGAGCAGTTTTTTCTCGCGGCGCACAGATGGGCCCCTTGTCAACTTGAAGATCGATTCAATAAGACTGAAACAAAGTTATATATACAGGACAAATGCAAGTGAAAAAGGTATTTATGGTGGAAGCAAAAAAAAAAAGCAAATGAACTGAACACGAATGCTAATGTCAGCGAATAGAACAAAAGAAAAGATGTGTACGCTTGTAAGTAAACGGGACTGAGATACCGGTGGAAAACCCGACAAAGCAGAGCGCGAAAGATCTACCGATATGCGAAATGGCCGTGGAATCGCACATTCTAAGATAAAACAATAAATATAAATAAATATATATATACAAATATACTTTTCGTATCAGTTGCGCGTCATTCTTATGCGAGATATACTATTTCGTGCATAGAATACTATCCGATTGGTGATTTTGTTTCGTATCAACTAAGACTAAAGGGTCTTAGTAAACATCTTTAAATTGTTCGCATAGTTTATGCGTAGCTATCCCAATAAATTGATAATAACGTTGATATACAGTTTGCCACAAATACCAATCTCGTTTTATTGCAGATTCCAACCACATGCTAACGATTATTTGAACATAATTTGTAACAGTGTTCGATAGAGAAGCATTTCGCTATGTCCATAAGGGTTATTGTATAAATTTAAACCCGCTGTTCGTAGACGATCACTGATCAGTTATAAAGTCCTTTTCAACTCTGATAGTATCACATTTACTTTAGGGAATCAAGCTTTAGAAAACTAAGCTTTAGGGAACATATTTTGTAGTAGGTTGAGAAACAGTTCATAGTTTCATTGATTTTGGGCGGATAGATTATACTGGTGTCCGGTATTGTCGATCTGACTTTCAAGCTGTTGTCTCATGGATGACTTCCCACTGAAAGGTCAGCCAGATATGCAAAAAATAGCTAACAATGAAAATTAGAAAAAATTAGAGGTTTTCTTATTCTTCGCTAGATATGTAGATTGATCTCTAAGTAGGCATCGGGGTTTTCTTGCAGGTCAATGTAGTCGAGATCAAGAAAGGCCAAGAGCTCTATGAACGATACGAAAAAAGTGCACGAATAAGGAGCTACTCTAGTTTTACCGATTTACTTAATGGGAGATTACTTTGTAGTGGTTTCAACTGCTGAGATCCTCTTTCGAAGAAAGTAAAACGGTATGAAAGTCGGCAGTAAACTTTATTGAAGGCAACAAACGTTCGTGGGAAACAGACCGTGTTGTCATCTCATAGGCAAATCTTCCTTTGGCAAGCCACATCGTTTTAGAGGACAAAATTGTCTGGGCCGTAGGACACGATGCGGATCGCGGTGGTTGGTTGTGGCCATGGGGAACTCGAAAAGATGTATGGTGTTCTGGGACGCCTGGAGGCCACAGGAGGTTTCCAAATAGACGCGCTTCTCATTTGCGGAGATTTCCAAGCTGTCCGCAATCAGCAGGTGGGCAAAAACTTCTTAAAATTTTCCGCCAACTTATCGCTAAAGTAATCAAGATGTATCAAGATCATATATCTTAAAAGGGAGCTCAAAACAAAAGATAAATGTTCTTCTCAGCTGCGTCAACATTACAAAAACAACTGCTAGTTTACGATTATATATATATATATATATATATATATGCTTATCATAATATGTAGGAGTTTTATATGTTATTGCTGCCTAAGGTTAACTACTGTATGTGATTTTGGATAATCCTGTTTCAGGATCTACTTTCGATGGCAGTACCAGAAAAATTTCGACAAATGTGTGATTTCCACAAATATTATAGCGGAGAGCTGAAGGTGAATTTTCCGATGTTTTTAAATTAGGTTATCTATTCTTTGTAAAATGGTATAAGGGCAGTTATCTGTTCTTGTATTACTCCAAACATTTCAATAGTTCGACTATACTGCAACTGTTATGTACCATAATACTTTTCAAGAAAAGAAACGGTTTCCTAAGTATTTATGAAGGTAATCAGGTAATTAGGTTGTTAAAATAGTAATAGATTACTTATTTGAAATTAATACTCCAAAATGTGACGACGATGTGAATGCATATCTCACCTATGGCGCAGCTCTTTTTGAACGAACACTTTGGGCAAGCTAATCAATGTGTAATCAGTTAATTACTTACGTTCAATAAAATCTGGATCTAATATTTATTTGACACAGACAGTTCTTAATGATTTGCTTACGATTAGGCGCCTATTCTCACGATTTTGGTCGGAGGCAACCATGAAGCTTCCGCGTATATGGATGAGCTTCGGTATGGCGGATGGTTGGCGCCCAATATCTATTACCTAGGTACAGCGGGCTGTGTTCGAGTTGGCGACCTTCGCCTTGCAGGTTAGAAGCTTTTTTTACATATTTGTTCTGACTATTTGTCGTTCTTGCTTTTATGTGTATTACTTAGTCGAAAGGCTTAGGCACGATAAGTCTACTCTAACTGTATCATATGTTCAACGTCAGTGACTACCCAAAACCGTATTTAGTACCTCTGTATTTCATAGTCGACACACCAAAATGATTTTCGAGCCTGTGTCGTTTTTCGTTTAACAATTTTCTGCACCCTGCATAGAACATCTACAGTAAAAGATTGGTTTGGGACCTTTCAGGACTATCTGGGATATACAAAGGGCACGATTACTTGAAGGGTCGCTTCGAAAAAGCCCCCTACGATAAGCAGACGATCCGCTCGACGTATCATATTCGTGCGTTGGACGTGTGCCGTCTGATGGCTTTAAAAAATGTGGACGTTGTCATGTCACACGATTGGCCTCAAGGTAAGATAAGACCTTTTTTTTTTTTTTATAGAAAGAAGAACTAACAAGACAACCAGGTCCAATTCAGTCCAGGCATAATGATTAACATTGAGGACATTGAAACGTACATGTTATGATGTTATCTTAATTCACATTTGCGAAGCTTAAATTACGATTTTGCTAACAAATAGTCCTAAATCTAGTCGTTATCGGATTCTAAACGTATTGCATTCGATTGCCCATGAAAAACTTTGAACCTTTGAAAAAATGAATGCTCTTGGATATTATATAGCCATTTAACAGATTTACTTCAATTTGAAACTAATAGCTAATTCGCTGTTAAATAGGAATCTGCGAGTTTGGTGATGAAGAATGGTTGAGGCGTAAGAAACCATTCTTTGTTGGGGATTTGGACTCTGGTCGACTAGGCTCTCCACCGACACGAGAGGTACAAGGAATTAGCAATCATATTATCGTAGCGAAATAACTATCCTTCAGTTCCATGTTTTCGTTCGTACGTCCTACGAAGGCCAGGTGTTATGAAGCCTAATTAGTATTGTACATTCTCACATATGTACCGAATAGTCGGTGAAAGCTAGAGGGATTCTTACCGGTTACGCTTCGGTTGCATTCTCGGAGCAAGAATCGCCGGTGAACACATACAATAGTCTTGAGATACTTTTGAAGGCAAGAACTCTACATTTATAACTTCAGCTTAGCAGTAACTAGACCTTTTGCACACATTTCCAGAAATTTCAAGCATATTTATAATAACACATCTTAATAATGCACTTACCACTAATGTGATATGTTGTATAGATTGCATACTGGACACATCAAAATCTAAATCTGGTGAAATTATGATTCCGAAGTCCGTGATGGGCTCGCTTAGCGTAATTGCTTCATTTGCAAATTAACATTTATTTGCTCGGTCGCCTGAACAGATAATAGCGCTTGTAATTACTGGTTCAATCAGGTGTTTATCGATCCGTAATTTATCAGGTTGCCATCTACTAGTAAAATCTGTTGAAGGCTCTATGATTCAAGTGATTAGCATACAGCTAGTGATCTTTGAGCTGCTCCTGTAGATACGATGTAAAAAAATTTATCGAGCTGTTACCCTCCAGGAAAAATATGCCACGACTCAAGTTCCTTCAACTGTTCATATAATTGCTTTCTAATCTTCTTGGGCTTAAACGAGTTTCAATCTTTGACGTTTTCCGACACATAGGTACTGGATGCCATTCGACCTCGTTACTGGTTTGCGGCACACTTGCATGTCAAGTTCGCAGCGTTAGTACCCCACGCCGACGGCTCTGAGACCCGCTTCTTGGCCCTCGACAAATGCTTACCTAACAGAGATTTTCTTCAGGTAAGCCAAACACCAAGCTTAACCTCAGTCTTGCATTTGAAAGGAAAACATAAAACTCGTTAATAATTAAGTAGAAATATTGAAACAACTAAGTAGAGATTTATGAATAGATGTAATCAAGAAATACTATAATGGTTAGAAAAATTTTAAAAATTAATGCAGGCCAATTGAGTTTATTGGCATCCGTCATATAGCTGCAGGTAAGACCGACTGATTCGCTAAAATAATTCTTAACGAAACCATTAAATCTCGCGTATATGATAGGAGCACACGCAGAGGTTATTCACAGTTTTAAATTGCCTTTCATTAGGTACTCGAATTAGCCGGCGAAGCAGGGCCACTGCGCTACGACGCTCAATGGTTATGTATCCTTCGAAAAACTCGACACCAAGAGAGCAATTCTCAAGTGAATTCCTATGAGTTACCTACGGAGGGTCAACTTTTGGTGTCGGAAAACGAGATTGATGCCCTGCTTGAAGAATGGGAGTCAGATTTACGGGTACCAGAAAACTTCGAGCAGACAGCTCCTCCATTCCAAACCAATGCACCCCACGGACCAGTTATTATGTATGAAAATCCTCAAACAATCGCTTTTCTAAAAAAGCTCAATTCTACTGAGACTTGTGGGCCGCGCAGTATTATCGAGATTGAGGATTTTGTTGGAAAGCCTTCGGAAATCTGTCCTGAAACTGAAGGCTCTGTGGATGACGCTCAACAGCTTCCCGTAGCAATGGAGCCTCCCTCAAGTGGGAGAGACACGAGGCTTTTCGCAGAACAGACGCCCCGAGGAAAGATGATTAAACGACGAAACGCCAGTATGTATAACAACGACTAACTGTGCTACCACGCGGGCTGCATTCAAAGAGCTGTAGTTTATGTACATTTCAGACACGACATATTTTGTCGAAAAAGTGTTCGGTTGTAGATTTTTTGTTTTTCATTTCCTTCATCATCGTATGAGCATTTAATAAAAACTATATATTATAGTGTATAGTAAAATGGAACGTAGATAATACCAAAACAACATGTCCTAAGCTCATTATAAAGGTAAAGACGAGATGAGAAGTGAAACCGTGTATTGCAGAAAAAGCTACGTGCTCGCAAGGTGTTATTTAAATAAATTAAAGATATTAGCCGATTATACTGTAGTGATTTACCAGAAGATCATTATTGAATACTTAGTTGTGTGGCGTTTCATACGTGGAGTAAGAAGGAAGAGAAAAAACGAGCAAAAATGTAAAATTAATTTTATGGAAGGATTGCTGAGCTCAACAAAGTTCTTATAGGAACTAAAGCAGTTTATTTTCGTGACATGAAACAAGGTCGTGCTATTACGAATCAGTTAACTTGAAATCAAGAAGAAGCTCATAAGCTCGATGTCAATAAGGAAAAAGTCATTAAAAATGCTGCAAGATGTGTTAGCCCTTTTTCCTGAAGACGTGTAGCTTTCGTTTTTTGCACGAGTTCCATCTAGCATTATTTACGTAATGAAAAAGACACGAGTACTCAGATAGTGGAAAACTTTTCATCTTTATTTTTCATAATATTCCCCTTACCAACCATTTATTCATCGCTTCCTACGAGAAAACCACGTACTTATCGTGAATTATCATCATCATCATCACCTAAACCTACTATTATTAATTCCACAGTCTTCTTTAGCAGTCTCTAGTCTTTCCCTTTATGCGGCGTCCTCATAGACTCATGCGTCCACTCATCTCTGATTCAATTGTACAAATACTCTATTAATAAAATATATACACGAAAGCGCGGGAGGCTCGCGGAAAGTATTCCGCGGGCGGCTATCCCCGCACAAACTTCTCGACCTCTCCCCTCTCTGACCCTCATTCGGAATCACTCTTTCGCCACTTCAGTATGTTTGACTGTTGCTATTGCCTGCGGTTTAACAAGCAAACGGGGTCAAATCTTACGCGCAAAGCAGAATGTTCTTGCTTTTTTTGTTGTTATTGCTATTGTTGCCATTTAAGATGCCGAATCGATCCGAATCATTCCTTGCGAGCTTCTTTATCATAATAGAAGTTTATCTGCACCGTAAAAAGCCTTAATAAAATATTGTTATTTCGTTCTTCTAATTTCTTCAGTACATATTCAACTACTTACTTACGTATAACGATTTCATTCGACTCAGCTTAACGGAACATTAACCTTATTGATGATCACTTTTTCGTTTTATCTGCTCGCTACGGTTGAATATGACGCAGTTTGTTTCAATAATAATTATAATCAGGGATTGATAATGAAACAAGCGCGTAGCGGTGCGATACCATTGCGTCATTAGTTTGCTATTGCTACTGCTGTTGCCACTATCGAACGACTAAATCTACTGCGATTGACTGACTAATCTGGACTATTCAGCGTTCGCCAACCACTGTGAACCCGAATTACGCTCGTAATTGTTTCTTGTTTCTGACGACATTTCGATAAAAAAACATGAGAGCACACGATTAATTCGGTCCAACATGTTAGTAAGAAATGTACAGCTCACTTTCAGAAAACAAGTGTCCTATATCCATTAATTTTATTTGCGCGTATTTTGAGTGTGTTATGTTTTCTCGGCTCGCTTACTGTGATTTAATATGGTAAATGGGAATGAAATGAAATCCTAGAAAATAACCTTCGCTATCATTAATCAATCGGAGTATTGATTTTTTATGAAGAATCCATACAGAAAGGCATAAAACGAATTGAAAGAAATTCGAAATCACATGTTTCAGATAGCGATTATTAAGTCTCATACACGAGTGGCATCAAACTCTCAAAGCTTCTTTTATACTATAGTGTTTCATAGGTGAATACCTTGTCTGTTCTCTAAATGAATCGATTCATCAGTTGTTGGAACTTTTTATGCAGTATGAACTTCTTGGATGCTATAAAACATCACCAGCTGTGTCCATGAAAGCGTTCACTTTCAAAATCAACGAGATGGAGCCTAAGAACCTAACAACAAAAGTTCACACCGACCCCTCTAATCGGCTAACGAACTCCATATAAAAAATAAAGGTGCGGAAAAAGCTAACTCACAGATCTACTATACATTAAAATCTACCAAAGATGATGGAAGCAAGATCGAAAGCACACAGGAGTTTGTCTGCCAAACGTATATAAGCGTAAGTATTCCGCTATCATTCGAAGTTTGTTTACCTTTATTCTTTTCGGACTGTATCACTTTTGGCATTACTTATGTTCAGTTTCTTTACTTCAGGCGTTGGCCCCTTTCCTCATCTTTAATTTAGTTTGCCTGTTGTCATCATCGGCAGAAACTACATTTATTTTGGCCGTTCTTTTTCATTTCATTCTGTTGTATGTTACTATTTGTCTGTCCAGTTAAATCGCCAATTATCGCAACCCGCAGTACAACTGGAGGCGTCATCTGCCTGTTAGCACATTGCTCAAAAACCTCTTGAAATCGATATCTTCCACCGAATGCCAAATTTGCGTGACGTAATAGAAACGCAAAGTTCCATCTTTTCACGCGCATCGGAAGCTTCACAAATCGCAAAAATAAATTCCTTCCAGTGGAAGATACTGCACCATGATGGTACCACTTCCCCTGAATGCCAGACCATCAGTAAAACAAGGCACCCTCAAGAACCCCCAATAGTAAAGTTCAATTGCTTTGCACCCCCAGTAGTATCCTAGCCCGCTAGCTTTTTACTGTTGTTGTTCTTGTTCTTATTGTTATCTTTGACTTGCTTCTTCATTTTCATTGGATTTCACCATCCCTACTATAACTTCACCATGGCGATGAGCGTTAATTGTGTATATGGGGTTCATATACACCACCGCCAGAATCGCCTCACAGGAACTGGGCGATCCAGCGGAAGCCTTCGCCATATCCTTGCCGTTTGAGTACAGAGCACATGAATAACTCGAGAGGACGGACCCCCTCCGAGGGCCGTTGTCCTTTTCCAGTCGTCTGTGAATATAGGTTAAACGAGTGGCGAAGCTCATCTTCGGAAGCGGCCCCTGGCCGATCGATCTTATTGCCTAGGATTAGTACAGGGCAACTAGCCAACTGCTCATCCATGAGCAGGCTGTCCAGCTCAGTTTTGCTTTCGATGAAACGGTCGCGATCCGAAGCGTCCACTAAAAAGACGATTGCGTCAACCGCTAAGAAATAATCGCGCCACACCCGACGTGCCTGATGATGACCGCCGAGGTCAAACGTCGTGAAGCACATATTGCCTACAACGGAAAGAGCAATTGAATGGAAAACAAAACGAGGGGCAGGGTCGAGTTGGTATTACCAAAAACTGGCAAGCTGGGCAATAATTAATACACACAAATGAGTACACCATGGTTGATAGTTGTTAGGACAATTAATTCACAAATCGTTAAGATATATTGGCTTAAAAACTAACTAAAATATGCTTGATATATTTACTTGATTTGCTGCAAAATTCAGGACGTCTTCTTATCGAATTCGGTGAAGTTAGCAAGTAAAGCTTATTATTGGTTCCGCCTTGGTGCAATGCTAACGCAGTTTCGGATGTGAAACTTAAACAACGTATTTCTATTACAGCATCAATGGTGATGATAATAATAGTGCCTTACCGATTGAAAGCTCCTCGGATGTGGGATGCAGGGTGGGAACGTGTTGGGCCATCCTATCATCTTTAAGCATGTGAAGAAGTGTCGTCTTTCCAGCATTGTCCAGACCCAGAAACAGTAGCTTGCCTGACTTCTTCCAGAGGCCGAGATAGCCTAGAACACCCGTCATCCAATCTAACAGGAACATTTTTGCGGCGTCTGCGAACGAAACGAAATCGCTGTCCTTTCGTTAATCACCTGGCAATCAATGACTAGTGGGGGTTACATTTTCGATTTATCAGAAATATATATATTATCGTCTATTTAGCCTTACACGTAGTTTATTACATGGCAGAGGCGGGGCTTAAGTCACCTAGTTATGACAAAAAGTTCGTTATCCAAACCATTTGGGGAACCAGAGTTTATGGACGTTCTAAACTTAACCTAAGCTCCGCAGTATCAATAAAGAAGCAGTTGATTTACCGAAAAAATGCTCATAGCTTTTCTAATACTTCTCTCTCTCTCGACATAAGTCCGTAAACTGACCTCAGCCAAGCTGTCACATTCGAACGTATTAATACTATTAATCGCAAGGAAACCGCTAACTCTTTCCGCGATTAATATCAGTAAAAAGGCAAAAACCCTAGTGAAAAATGGTCAAATAATATTAAGCTAAATCCAACCCAGGTATCTTGTGTTTGTGTAAACGCCAATCTACGTTCCACTTTCCACCTGGCATCTGCTTACCGAATCGTCGTAGTAATAGAACCAACGCAGAGTCAACTGAATCAAGGGGACACCGTAATGACAGTAATACCAACATCCGACAGTAAATAAACACATCCTTAAAAATTCCGACAAAATAGATATTCGACGCCAAATTTGGTGAATCAAATAGAATGTGAGAGTATATGATAATCGCTAGTTCCATAAAAGAGCGAGATATTTCAAAATATCCATTGCGGTCGTTTGTTTGAGAATGGCTTCCCTTTGTTGGAAATTGTCTCACAATTACAACATCACTTCTGCTCAATCACAAAAGACTGCTCACATAATCCGATATATTTCAGTCCATGTGGTGATAACCACTTACTCTTGAAGCTTCTTTGCTATAAACACTTCACGGCTTAATTATAATGACTACAAATTTTCCACGCACACCCAACTAGTTAAGTGCCTACGAAATAGACAACCTCACCTCATGGTTGAGGACTGGCAAATCTCGGTTTACAGTCGCATGGCTCCCCATGGTCACTTTAAAAAACATTCCTAACTCGCTCTGTTCAGCGAAATTATAGTATTCCGGAACTTGCAGAGCCGACGCGGTTAAAAATGTTTCAACGGGAAGGCCCTACATCAGCCTTGCCCGCCCAAGCGGGATGATGCTCGCACTAAAAATCAGCCGTGCACACTCCTTAGCTTAACGCTGTTGAAACCTTAACTTCGGCTTTTGGTAGCAAGGAATTTCTGCACGCTTCCAGACTGGCAGAATTACATGCTTACAGTCAATGTATCGAAAGCCGAAAGGCATCAGATGTTGACTATATAAAAAAGGGATTAGCCAAATCGAGTAAAAAATGGCCAAATGGGCAAGGGAATGACAAAACTCTGCAGAAATTTATCGGCGGAAGCAATCTAAGTCGGCACCAGTCAAATTGACATTCTTTATGGTTTTTGAAGTAAACCAAAAATAAGAGTCGAGTCTCCAGTTATGAATCTCCTCATTGTTGAGCATCTCAACGATAACAGAAAAATTACAGGTTCCATTAGGCTGCTAAAATACTGGTAATATTATCATAAAAGGCGTAGCATGGTATAGGAGCATGAGAAATCACCCGTTTACAGGATTTTTGTTTCGGCAGAGTGGATTAAATTAATCGAAATATCACCCGCAATAACATAAAACACTTAAAATGGTGGGAAACTTGAAACATAAGGAACACGCGTATTTTCCAAAAATATTGAGCTGAATCGATTCATCACGTCTTATACAGTTCCAGTTTATCCGTAAGTACACCTGGACGTCACTTTGCTTACTTCAACTACCTCCTGTGAGCGCATAACCAAAGCAGCGTACGGTCAACCTACATATCGTCACAGTTCAGTATTAAAAATATAAGCTTCTACTTTATTTGATTTACAGGGTGCAACACGAGAGAGGCTTCCTAAATGCATCACTTCGGACACTTTTGACAACAATTTTAATTAAAAGGGCTGCAGCAGCAAGAACTGCTCAAACTACATTTTCCCCACAATTTCTGTAATCAACCTACGGCAAAAACATCAACTAAAAAATTAATATTGTTGTTTTTATCTCACGATAAATTTTCAAACGACAATCGGCATCATTTGACAACAATAAGGAAAAAATACTACTTTACCAAATTACCATTTGTATTTTCGGCATCGGCAACTTCTTGCAGCCCGCTACACTCAATTTAAATCATTGTAACCTTTGCAACTTTTGTGACTCCTATTCACCAATAGTGAAACTATTATAAATCGATGTCACAAGTCGAATTGTGGTATTACATATTGTTTTCTTCAACCTCTTACATATGGTACATGTCGACACAAACGGTCGTGAGGACATCAATGATAGTCTGATACGATTCGTTCACTCGTGCTAAGCGGTCTACGAATAATTCATTTGTAGTATTTCCACAACAGTGTGATCTAACAATGTATGTTTCAAATATTCATCATGACGCTGCTTCTTTTTTTTGTACTGTATGATAGTTGATAACGCCAGTAAGTTTCTCACTATTGGGATAGAAAAAAACGAATTGTGTCAATGATACTATTTAGCGAACAAGACAGCCACGAGTTTCAGCAAAATCATGAAGTGGTCATTGTCATTATTCAGTTTGTCCCCGGTTAACATGCTCCATTATGAGCTGATCGCATAATGCTGAATATTAACCTCAGGAATACTTTCTATAAAAGTTGTTCTTTGTGGTTTTTTGCTCGGATAAAAATCTGTGCTCAGAGACTCAACTAGCTGAGTAAATTCTGTTTTACATATACATATAAAGAAGATATATGCATAACATCGACAGCTATAATTGAATGGGTCATCCTGTTTACGAAAACATAGGCCTTGTTTTTTTTTTTGAAAACGATTTAGCTTTCACCGCCACTTTTTTTTCAATAATATGCCGTTGCTTTCATATGAACGACTTACGTGAAATTTACACACGTGTCGAACTAATACGATGCTTTGATTGAGTCAAGCATAGCTATGAGCTTGGTGGCGATGAGTCCGTTTATTGATCGGACTTAGGTGACAGAAATTGTCGGGCCGAAAGGCTCTTTGTGAAGTTGCAACGAACGGCTTAAAAAGTAAGTGATAATTAATCGAATAGTCAGACCCTAGCAACAAAAGGGGTATGACGACTCAAAAGATTATAAGAGATTCGATCTTTTGTGAAGGATGAATTGATAGCGAAATTTGAGCGACCCGTGTTCATATGTCGAGTAAAATTTGACTATTGCCTGACTGCTCAGAAATACGCCTTGCCACATGTCAAATTAAGCGCCCCATTCAAAGGTAATCTGGCAAATGACTATGTCGAAGCATTATATAATACTAGCATTTGCTGAATTTTGTGCCACCATTCAACATGCATTTCTCTTTGTAAATATTATGTACAGTTTCGCCTGAGTTAGATTTACGAGCTCAACTGACGAAACTACATATCTACCATAACGCCAAAATATGTTTAACATGATGAAAAGAACATCGTAGAGATCCACAGACACATTTGAACAATGGAACTTCACTGTAGGTGAAATTCCTCAAAATTATAATTGGGATAAATATCTACACAGATCTAGATGCTTAGATCTGGATTCATTCCAGAGCGCTTCGTATATCAATTGTCATCTCACCATCGATTTAGCTGGACGCCGACATCACCGACCCGTCGATCGGCGATGCCTTCAATTAAAGCATTTTTCCTTGCTGAGACAGCCGTCGGGCACAAAAGGAAAACTGTGAAATGATTATACCTTTTCCTTTACTATTTCGCTACTTTTACTTCTCTTTCAGGCAACGGGCCGTAATGATGGTGAGATTGGTAGTCGAGGTCGCGTCGGCTCAGCCGTTGCTCACCGCCAGACTCGCGAACCTGCGCCAGTAACACCTACGGTGGCTGTAACGACGCCAGTAGGGCTAACTCGCGGCGGAATACCCCGCTCTTATCTCAGCTAATAAAGAGAAGCGTTACCTGATCCGATATATAAAAGCCATGCAACTACAACAAATAGCACAAATGCAACCGACAAGCAAATGAACAGTAAGCATCACGATTCGAATACGAACGGAGAGACGACAACACGACGTAACACAAGTATGACACGGTACTGAGCGAACCGCGCAACACGTAGAGGTTTTCTTTTGGCGAGAATCACAGAGTCTTCCAGCAACGTGTCCATGTTGTGTACTGCTGTTGCTGCCACCGCTATCTGGTCGCGACAATCAACAGATGAAAGACTAGTCAAGCAGTTGAGAGCAGCGATATGCGCAGATCGAGAGCTGCCAGCTTCCACGACTGAAGCAAAACAACGTTATGTCTCTATGCCACGAAGGGCAAACGGTTCAAGTAAAAACAACCCATAAGCAGAGCGCTACTGGACGCCGATGCGGGATTGCTGGCTAGCCAGCCAGCTGACTTTCTGGCAAACCATAAATGTTCTGACGGCCATAAGATTGTTTACGAAAAACCGTTTTGAAGAAAAACATGCGCAGCACATAGCTTGGGTAGACCAGCGCAGGGCTCAAGTAAGAAGACAACAGTCAAATGCAGTCCGCATCGCATCAGCTGCTCAAGAAATGTTCGTCCTGACCGCCGCCGACCCTGCTTTTACTGCCGCAGCAGCTGCCACAACTACCAGTGGCGTTATCGACAAAAACATTGTCTACATCATACGAAGTACGTCTGCCAGAAGAAGATTCCGACGAATATTGATTGTCGAAATCGACCGACAAGCCAGCTTTATAATCCAGTCCGGCCAATAATAGTGGAAGTCGGCAACTAAGCGCCAGAATTGACGAGGAGCCTTCTTTTTCTACGGATTCGTGGTGCTGCATCCGGATAGGCTCTAACAACAAAATGAATACTAGAACCGTAAGGGTACCAACAGCGGAAGATAAACCGTTCTTCCTATGAATTGTAATGGTTCTATGCCAATTGTTTCAACCTCACAAGCTTCACCCTAATCGGTAGTACACCGATTACAGTGAAGCGTGTGAGGTTCAGCAAAAAGCATGCGCGTATTCATGCAGATCTGTTACGAGAGTCTGAAAAACGCACCCAGATACAGTGCAATGCGATCTATGAATCCATCAACCGCGTCACTGGTGCCTATTTCCAATCACAGATATTTATCGATACATATTGATAAACAACTCTCAGAGTAACGCTGGTCGTTATTAAGTTCAGTCGTCTAGCATTCGTTTAGTTGCTGTTATTGTGTCTTGTAGGTAGATTCTGTATTAACTGTTACGAAAAAGGGAACTGCTGCTGCCGCCGCCGTTGTTCCTTCCAGAGTCGTTCTCATATACCATCATAGCCGTTGTTTATGTCAGGTAACGACCACTCTCGTAAAATGCACGCAACACAATAAAATGAAGCTAGGGTAATACAACAACGAAACATCTAAGAGCCATGTTAAATGATAAAATACAAAAACAATTGTATAATTAAGTAAAGAGGTAGAAAAAAACTATGTGCTAGGCACAGAGATTTGGTTCAGGTCTTATTAAGTGAATGCAGATGGATGCCAAGTGGGCGCGCGCGCGCGCGCGCATACACATATCTTACACCGCAGAAACGACGGCGATCGGTTACTATGAGAGAGAAATTCTTCTTTGCGTATGTGTGTCCGTGTGTGTCTATGTTTTTGTCGGTACCTATGGTGCATATCGACGAATGAATTGAAACGGCATTGCATTTCCACAAACAGTGGTATCCTGTCGCACACTGTCTTTGTTAACTATCATTATGGTCAGTTGATCCCGTGGTGACTTTCGACCACTTCTGCCTCTACTGTTGCCAACCGCCATAAAGAACTGAGTAGGAAGCTACATAGTTTAAAAACAAACTTTTCGGAACGGGAATTAGTGTTCTTGGGTTGTGAAAAAATTTGTCACCGTTGCTATTGTGGCATCTACTGGCAACGCAGGAATAATTTGAAATCGAGTCGAGAGTCAACGCACGGCCATTGACGCTTACACACACGCACAATAACACACTACCATGCACTGCTTTATCATATAATCCAGGACAAATAGACGACAGAGACAATGGTCAGACGTCAGCCAGAAAAAGTTTTTAGTCGGAAAACAAAAGCCGTTCCGCTTACGACAAATCGACGTCAGACGGAAAGGATAAGTTGTAACAACAAGCTACACGTGCAACCGTGAGTGATGCGACGGTGATATGATCAACAGCAACAGCAGCAGCAGCGACAACAACAAAAACAGCAGTAACTAGTACTGACAAAATTAACGACAACCGTTGCGACAGCACGTTTGTCGATGATTTTGTGTACAACGGACGTCGGGACGGGCGGACCGCAACAGCAATAGCAGCGGCTAGATACGGAGATCGTCGAGAGCGGCAAACCTCTCTCGCAGTGACGCCACACACAAACGCTCAGCGAGCGTCACTCCAGCTGCTTTCGGTACTGCCACCGATTGCTACAATTACAGCGCCCCAAGAAAAGCTGTTCTAACAGTGCTTCTGGCAAGACTCCAACGGCGTGAGGTCTGCGTATAAAGCGGAACACGTTTGTTTTCTTACGGCGACACAGGGATAAATATACATCTATATTTATAGAATATTAAATAAGATACGTACTAAGTTGAAAATAGCGCAATTCACGGGTGTTTAGTCCACTTTGAATGTATTCGCTAACTATCTGCAACCGGTCATTCTATACGAGTCGTGAACCGGTTAAGTTAATGATACTAGCAGAACTGAGACACCACAACATTTGTCAGATGCTTGAAGCAGCAGTCTAGTACGTGGAAGCTACTTAGAAAAACGCCAACACCGGACGAAACGACTGCTTACGCTAGCGTTCGATTACTTCCATATGATTGATTTAACGTGTTTTAAAAATTCCACGGACTTTAATTTTTTGACCCGATCGGAGACGGCCCAACAACATCGTGATCCATTTCGAAACGATGCATATTAAAAGCAAGTTTCTACCAAATATGAATATTCTATTCAAGGGTACATTCTGTAGATGCCCAGCCATTGAATATTGTTGCCACCGCCACCGTCAACAATGTACGCTCCACAGGTATCCACATCCACTGATTTAACACAATCAGGCACACCGTTGTACAGACAGACACGCACACCTATGTCTTGTGCACGCAGGGTACGAACCGCCAGCAGAACTGATGAAGGTACCGTTCGAACGATCAGCCAAATAGAGCCGCCTAAGAACGGTCGTTGAACGTCTACCACCACAAATGACTCGAACTTGTTTCGTTTGTTACATTCGAGGAACTCATCTCTACTGATCCACGAGAATACCGACAGGCCAAGGGGTTTTATCGAAAAGATGAAATAGACTGAACATCGGTAGATACGTATTATTGCTGGTAATTCACAACTTATGGCCAGTTACGGTGCTAAATGAGACGGAAGATAACAACCGACAAGGCCAGTGAAAACGAGCATACCGTAGAGTTAAGCTCGCATGCACAGCTAGGTAGAGATGATGTCTGTGGCTGTTAGCGATGCTTGTTCCGCTGAACGGGCCACTTTAACACAGAAAGCCCGGATCTAGGGCAACTGGCTCATTAGACGCTACTTACGCATAACAAACGCGTTTATTCGATCGAGGATGAGAAATTTTTGAACACTTCACATGAAAAAACGTACCTCTGAGTCCGTGGCAAAGGGAAAATGCTTGAAACGACGGGATTCCACGTAACCCAACTCGCAGCTACGATAGATGACAGTTGCTTAAAATGCGGAATCGTCCGACCGCTGCTGGCGCTACTGATGTAGTCGTACAGATGTGATATCCCGCTGTGGCGCTCGATGAGGAGTGGCCTTGTTGTAATGTTTCGCCATATCGCTGAGTGAGTGTGGTTGCATGAAGATTGTAAAGGGTCTTGAAATTTATTAACTGAATTGTTGAACAGATTGCTCTATGGAAATATTTGCTTAAATTTTTAGTTGAAAGCAGCCTGGCTGAGCTTTCGTGCCAGGTCTCTTTGGGCAGCATAGAGGGTCTTTCAGAGTTCGGTGTCTACAAGGCGACCTATAATAGTCAGCTAGTAGTCTCATCAAACAAGCGGCTCGCTAGGGTATTCTGCCACAAAAGTATCGTCTCGTAGAAACGTATTGCTTGGCAAATATCAAACATCATTGAACTCTACCACTGAAGGCGAAAAGCGAAACGAAACTATATTCAATGGCTGTACTAAATTTGGCGCCCTTTTTTGACTACCTAAATATCCCAGTCGTTCCGCTGATTAACAACCTTGAGCATTTAGCAATGAATTGTAGAGCAGACGCCTCAAATCTGCTCATTGCTCTTATTAGTATTTCCGTATAAAAATTATTCTTAAAACATTGGTAGTCCTCCAAGCTTGAAGTTAATTCTTATACCCTTTACGGCAAAATTCCTTGTTCATTCTCTAGGCGCATCCAATGCATTTAGTCAGTACATGGATTCCGGCAATAAACCTACTGCCCCACTCTCTCCCAAAGTAATGCCCGGTCGTGTAGTTCTGCAGAGCGCTCCGCTGAAGACTGCACCAATACGCCTAGCTTTGTTTCAGATTTCAGATATAACAAAATTTTCTAAAGAGTGTCGTCAACCCTTTGTGTGTTTATCATTAAAGTGTTTTTACTTCTAGTGTTTACTGACAGAGGCGGGATACAGCGTGCGTCAAAATGTCTGCATCATTCCTGGAAAAATTTAAATACCGGGGCAGTTCACCGGGAAAATCAGATGGTAGGATTTGTTTGGCAATGATTGGTAACACAATACTTACATAGAGTCTGTTTCACGCCAGCATATTTTGTAGTCTTTACTATGAGTGTTTTTTATTACCTCCAAAATCTTGTCAAAATATTGTATTGCCACAGAAATCGCTGTTTTTAATGACTATTTAGATTCCTTAGAAAATAAGATGTATCAGGTACTTGGAACACAACATTTTATTTTCGGGGTTTTTCATGCCTGCCATTCGACCAGTAGGGAATTCGATTAGAATATTTTGCTTCATGGATAATGCATTTTATTTGGCCTAACATAAGCAACAGAACAAGGACATTGAAGGAAGTCGAAGAAGTTTATTTAGTAAAGGAAAAGTTCATTTTTGTTGTGATAGAGTGTACGGTGCAGTTACAATGCTTTCGAAGAGATTTGAAACTTATAGGACTTGTGCAGAAGGCGAAAGCTTTATTAGAAAAAAAACTACTTTTTGGACAGAGACGATACTGGATTTTGTTGTAGTTGTTGAAGCCTAAAAATATCGTAACACTTGCTGAAACAGTTAGTGATTCGTGTCAACTTGACTTATTCGGGGGAATCAACTTCATATCCGGCCGGATTTTTCTTTGAACAATACCTCTGAAATTTTGCGCAGATGCCAGAGCGTCGTTCTTTTTTTGTAACGCATGCACGTATCTTATAAAAGTAAATGATTTCGTAAGTGGATTATTGTATAATCTGATACAACCTAACATATGAAGCACATATGTACTAAGATATTTGAAAATGCAGTTTGAGTAATAGGTCTCTATTCCTGACATGGTGGATCCTTCAGTCCAAGGGGATAGTTGCGTTTTCTAGAATTGTACAAGCGCACTAAAAACAATAAAAGTGACATCGCTTTCCTTAAGGCTATCAAGCGGTGTCAGTTGACAAAAACATTTTCTCACGCATGGCATCTCTTCAATAAATATCTTTATAACAAACTTAAATTAACTGTCACCATGGGTGAGTTATGTAGCCTCAGCTTATAACTGTGGTGAGTTCGAGCTCCTTCCTAAACAATAATTTTAATCTACCCTTAATCTTTTAATATATTTGATGAATAAGTGACATATAATTCGTCGCTCAATAAACACAATCAACTATTCTTAAGGAGATCCTGCCTGTCAGCTATTATAGTTTTTGATTCTCACGGTTGTTTCGAAAGAGCGCGTGTTATACTTCGTCCATTAAAATGCTTCAGCGATTCGATGTGCCATAAAGACCGTTTGTGGGCAGTAATGGAGAAATTACTTGGTGACAATCTACTAGAGATCCTTACTAACACAAACAAATTCAATTTTAGATGAGAAACAAACAAATGTTCATGCCTCAAACGGGAAAGATATCAGCGGAAATAGGGTAAGCTTAGAATAAACGCTGATGCCTGGCCGTTTTGTTGAAGGAATTCGCGACGTTTTGACGTTTTGTATATATATATGCATATATTATAACCTTGAATATAATTGCTTTGTAAATATATAAGGGTCAATTTTGATTTTTGGACTAATAATTTTTCCAATGTATGAATCGTTCTGTTATCAGGATTACCCAACCAGCGCGGAGTGCGAGAGTCTTCTAGAACAGTTCCAGCTCAAGTGGGTACTCTCGCATTCATCGAAGAAGGCACTATCAAACATTTTTATAACAGGAACCCATCGGATCAAGTATCGTGTAACTTAATCAGACCTGCCTTCGGTGATTTTTATAAAATAACGATTTGACTCAATTATTGAACTTAATCAGTGCCGTTCACTGAATGAGAAAGTAATTCACGTAAATATATATAAAGATTGATTTTTTTTTGTTAATATTATAAACATTATTGGATAATCTCTATATCTAAATCTATCCAATATGTACAAAAAGGTTGTTTTAGTACTGAGGAGATACCTAAATTGTATACTTGTTTTTTGAAATGGTAAGTCAATATTTTCATTGTGGTTAAAACGAGTTTAACAAGTAAAATTTCAGTCATATATTTTTCAACAGTTTATTTTTCGCAGTCGAATTTCCTTAGCCAATAATCTGTTCGGTTTCCAGGTATCCTAATATAGACAAAATGGTAATTCAAGATACGTTGATCTCACACAACTGGAATCGGGAGGCAGCTCAAAAGCAACTCGACATGGATCACCCAGTGCCGAAATTGGCATATGTTGGTGATGCTGGCCCCGCACACGATGGACCATTAGATGGCAATCGACAGAACGAAGATGGTGAAGCGACCGTGTTGAAGGTGAGTAAATTCTGCATATATGAACATCAGTATTCCAGGCAGAGCACTGCGAGGTATTCGTCGTACTCGAACTCACTGTATATATCGACTAGGTTGTTCAATGCTATTTTGAAAACTTGCCAATTGCAAGTGTAATACATTTAATTATGCAACTTATGGATGTCAACCACGCTAGGCTAGTTTAAGTGCAGGCGACCGACAATGTCAAACAGCAAGTTCCAACAGTACGAAAACCGCAGTAACTAATCAGATTGCACTAATCTGCTATGTAATTACGTCGTGTCCACATTGCTTTTGTTTGTAGAAGGTACAGACGGTTGGCCGTGCCAGTATGATCATAAAAGGAAAGAATACGCATAAATACGCTGCAATTAACGCAGCTCAGAGGGATGGACAACCATTGAGTGGAGATAATCAGGACAACGATGGTGATGATATAATTGTCAGAAAAAAGAAAAAGAACCAAAAGACCAAAGATACCCGGAAGCGGGCCAGATTCGAGTTCAGCGATGATGATGGCGACAAAGACGAAGTCGCTGCGAAGCGGGAGAAAATTTACAATAGCTCGGGTGAGTTGTTGGTAACAGACCAAGTTTTTTTGCTCCTTTCATCTTGAGTGAACAGCATCTTTGTAAAGAGGTCTGGTCTATTGAGCAAAGGGCGGTCATAAATGGTCAACATTTCCGATAAGACTGAAAATCGCATGGCGATAATAACAGAAGGGACGCAACCAAGACAAATTAGGTCAACACAATGTTTGACTACAAGCGGACATTGCATATGGAGTCATTGCGATCAGACCAGGGGTCTTTACCTTCTCGCAGCCAGAGGTTTGACTAACAATCAAAACAATATATTTTACTGCAGAAAAGGAATAAGAGGAAACCACATTACCACCAAGACTCCTAACAAGCTTTGGTCATCACCAACTTTTTTATATTGGAATCTCTTTACTCAGAGGATATACTAGCGTGAACTGATATAATAATAAGTTCTTCTGATTTCGATCTGAAAATTACAGATTCAGATTCGGAATCAGAGCAGAAGTATGCCGTAACCACGGAGGTAGCAAACGTAAGAAAACAGGTAGTTGATTTCTTAAACGATGCGCCGCCACTTGAACTTGGATCTGTACCGACGTGTTCAAACAAGCGTATTGAGAAGATTCTTTCAGTGCGGCCGTTCTCAAGTAAATACAACGGTTTTTTCTTCGCGCATCCATTCCGCAATACAACTGCACGGGGGCATGCAGTCATCTTTATACAGGCGTATATAAAACTTGCTTTGGAAGTATTGGCATGGACGCAATGCTTTGTCTTCAACATAGTGTAGCAATACAGTAGTCCTTAACGAGCTTTTATTTACAACTGTTACTTTGCCTTGAAGTTTTGCTTTGTATTTTCCTCTCAAAGCATATAGATACATACTGAAAAAGGTGGTTATTATGGGCTTGTTTCAGCGTATGCGGAAGCCGTATCTGCTATGACGTCAACGCCTGGGCTAAGCCCTGAGATACTTAATGAAGTCCAGTCATTTTTAGCATCGCGAAACATAGTAGCTAAGCTGATGAGCAGCTGTGAGGGGCTAGTACGCGAAATGAAAGTACAAGTTCGTTTTTCCGTTTGTGTTTTTCCAAAAATGTTTGCATCTTAATATATTGTTAAAGCTCTCTCTCTATGCGAAATTGCCTTCCTAATGGTGGGACATAGACCTGTTCATCAATATCACCCATTTCCAGTAGCAATTACGAATGATTTTTTTAAAGTAACATTTACAGCCATATTAACACATCTGGTTTCGTGAGCTATTTTGAACTCTGGAAATTCTATTAACAGATGTCCATATAGATAATGAAATGATACGCATTTTATAGTACTGCATTCTATATTTGATTGTATAGACGTCATCCCGTATCTGCTTTATGCAATCATTTAATGAATCTTATGTTCTGTGCTTATGTTTAGGTGGAGACCATCCAACAGCTTAAGGAGATGAAAATCAAACAGCAACCAAAAAGTGTCAGCGATCATTTGAAGCTAGCCCCACATCAGCTGATAGGTGAGGCAAAATGCTAAACCTGTATGCTTCGAACAGAACAATGAGGTTCTTTTAGGGGCTGAATAACTGCATCTAACTGTATATCTTATGTACAGTACAGGATGGGTAACGGTGTATGCGATTATGTTACTTCTTTTTAGGGATCAACTGGATGGCTCTGCTCTACGAGAAAGGTCTTAACGGGATCCTAGCCGATGAAATGGGTCTCGGAAAAACAATTCAGGTCCGCTTCTATTTACGCAACTACTTGCAAGTGCAACACTGTCAACTTTCTTCTAACTTCGATAGCGATATTCCCTTCGCTGAATCCTTTAGTTAGTTGTCTCATCATTCGTTGAAAATATTAGAAAACCTTGCATTTGGTTCTTTCTTCTGTCACTCATTTGATTTAGTCTGTAGCTGATAGTCATATTAGGTACTAACGCAAATGTCTTTGTCTATAGGTTGTAACGTTCCTAACATGGTTGTTGGAGCGTGGTGAAAAGGGGCCTCATCTCGTTGTAGTACCCAGCTCAACTCTGGATAACTGGCACCGCGAATTTAGCACATGGTGTCCCCAGCTCAAAGTAAGAGAATATCTGACCGGTTATTTGGAGCGATTTAGAAACACTTTCAAAGGTTTTGAGCAGGCTCTATAGATCGGCTTGTAAGAAAATCTGAAAATTGTGCTATATTGTGCAGTATTTCTATGCGTTTTTCCATACAGGTGGTCATTTACTCGGGCCCTCAGGAAGATCGTAAAGCACTTCGTCTCGACGTAGTCAATGGTCGCTTATCGATGAACGTAATTTTAGCAACATACAATACTCTAGCGTCCACACCTGAAGACCGTGGATTCTTCAAGAAGCTACAGTTTGTCTATGCTATCTTTGATGAGGCACACATGCTTAAGAATATGAACTCGCAGAGGTATGAATCTTGTCATTAGTATTTGAGTGCTTATTCTGATACGAGACCGACCCGTTAAAATATAATAATATAGCGCATCTTAGGAACACATTCTTTTAATTAGTCGTTAACAATTATTCATTCGCAATATTAACTTTCAGGTTCCAGAGTCTTATACAAATTGCATCATCTTTTAAGCTGATGCTGACTGGAACACCTCTACAGAACAACCTCATTGAACTGATGAGTTTGCTTACGTTCACAATGCCGCATCTGTTCTGCAATAAAACGACTCACATGAAATCCCTTTTTAAAGGGTCAAAAAGTAAGTGTTTAAATTGCTCTCCTTCGTTAGATAGTGTTCGATTCTTTCTGCTAAACACGGGTCAGAAACCATACGGTCACGCAAAAACCCCCTACAGTATATATCATGCCCTACTGTTTATCTCGGTAAAGTAAACTCCATATTAGCTATTATATGTGAAGTACTTATGAAAGGCACAAGCACATGGGCATCTAATTGGAGCAAAGCGCTAGTAGGAGACGAATAGCAGAAGCAATGAACATGCACAAATCCGAACGAGCAATAGATCTTTATGGACTATATCAACTTCATATTGAGGTTAGATGTGCACGCCCTGGCTTTAAAAAAAAAACTAGCAATTATTGATTCGACAGACTATAATCCGTTTTTTTTTTAAATTTTTTTTAATTTCATAGCCAGTGGTGGGGAAGAGACGGCAAGAAACGTCTATGAACGGGAGCGAATCAAACAGGCCAAAGCAATCATGCAACCGTTTGTGTTACGGAGGTGAGCTAGTTTGTTTATGGAACAGATGCAGCATTTATAGTTATATGAAAAATGATTTATTCCAGGGCGTTTCGACATTTGGCATTTGAGAATCCTGCCGATATTGTATTGCTATTTAGCGTGGAGAATATGCTAACGAGTTACTGGCGGCGAAAAGTCGATTAATTAGTCTATTATATATATAACGATTCGCAACTAACCTTAGTAAAATGTTACACTTCACTTATGTTTGCTGACGTATTTTAGACTAAAGGCTGATGTCCTTGGGAATTTGCCAACCAAACATGATAATCTGGAAAAGGTGGAAATGGTCGAGATCCAAAAGCAGCTCTACAAGAAAACGGTAATTACACTTATATTATCATTGATGTGATATACGACACTGAGTGAATTGTTTCTATTTATATTAAAAGGCTTTAGTTATTATATTCTCCTGTAGCTTTCTAACGACCGCAAAAGAAACTTGTAGCATCATAACATTCCTGACAAATCGTTTAGAAATGTCTTAATTTGTATCTTTTGAAATTGCGATTTGACACACGGCTCTTTAGATGCGAATACCTTTGTACTTTTAAGCTTTAAGTTGTTAATTATGTTTCCTGAAAACAGAAAATAATGGATATTTTTCAAAAACGTTATTATTCATCAAATAGGTGACAGCATTTAAACGTTCAAAGGCTGAACGTCGCCTGGACGAAGACGTCAATGCCGAAGGTTCCGTTTTAATGCAGCTACGCAAAGCCGCAAACCACCCGCTGCTATTGCGTACCCATTATAGCGACAATAGGTTGCGACAAATGGCAAAAATCATTTGCAAACAGCCTAGCCACAAGGAGTCTACGGTCTCGCTGGTAAGAATACGTCTTATTATCTCGGTTAGCAAAGTTGTTTAGATGTGAAACTGCGTTAACATAAATTGTTATGAGAAACTTATATAACGGCTTATATAACTTATATAACTTATCATAACGGCGACCAGACGTTGCCTTCTAAAAGTAGGGTAAAGTTATTTTAAGTTTCTTTGCTGTACCGTGTTGAAAATGGATAAGTAGCTAGATTGAGAAAAAACAAAGTTGGAGTCGGCTATAGATTCAATTTTCATGTAAGTTTAATACAGAATCCTTATGTTGGGCAAACACAAGAAGGCAGCACCGTTTCTGAAAGTTTTCTGAAATATGAATCCGACAGGTTTTCGAAGACATGCAGGTGATGAGCGATTTTCAGCTGCATTCGCTTTGTCTCCAATTCGGTAACTGCCTCAAAGAGTATCTACTGCCCGACGAAACAATCACTAACTCTGGGAAATTCAAGTACCTCCAAGAGTTTATCCCATCTCAGCTGAAACAGAACAATCGAATTCTCATCTTCTCTCAGTTTACCATGATGCTTGACATCATTGAAAAGTTCTTGTATATCGAGTAAGTTATGGATCAGATTTATTAGACACGAGAAGCTACGAATACATAGTGAAAAAATCGTACGTTTTATCTACCTGTATCCATGAAGGAACGTAATGATTAATAGATTTATATATAGCATATTTCATTTACCCCAAAAATAAAGTTTTTGAGCTCGTCGCTCTTATGTCGGTATGTCTCAGTTACAGATTGCATTTTATATTACAGGAAGTACAATTACCTGCGAATCGACGGTTCGACACCAGTGAGTGACAGACAGGACTTGATCGACGCATTCGTCAATGACGAAAATATACCAATATTTCTGCTATCAACTAAAGCTTGCGGACTTGGCATCAACCTTACGGCTGCCAACGTTGTCGTCCTTCACGATATCGACTACAATCCATACAACGACAAACAGGCATGCATTTTATAGTATTTAGCGCTCTGTGTTCGACGTCTGTCTATTGATAATCTGGAATCTATTCATTTTTCTAAAAGAAACCTTGATACATAGAATATACATTTAGCCATTGCAGATGATAGACACATTTATAGAATTATATCACACGTGACCGAGGCAGGACATGTGGTTTTAGTACACGGTCAACTTAGAGATGGTTTCATGAAGTTCTTTTCATATATGTGACTTTGTTTTCGATTTCCTAACAGGCAGAGGATCGGTGTCATCGAATTGGCCAAACACGCGAAGTGCACATTTATCGACTGATCTCAAAAGAGACAATCGAAGAAGCGATGTTTGCTGTCGCCCAAAAGAAGCTCCGCCTCGAACAGAGAATCACTACCGACGATGGCGAGGGCACTAAAGATGAGGCTCAACAAGATAAAGCTGTTTTAGGCCAGCTATTGAAACGGGCACTGGGTGAAGATGATCAAGACGAAAATTAAAGTTATTCCATGCGAAGCAGATGGTTTCACCGAGTGCGGAAAGCGAGCAACCAACGATTAATGCACATATTTAATAGAGTAGAACAGAATTAGAAGATCGGTTAACAGGGAAAAAGTCGGACATATGTAAGGTGCCTATAAAAACGAACAAGTGCAAGCGGATCTCTGCTAAGGATCAGCATTAACTGTAGTTGTATACGAATAATATTTTAGAACATAATGATAAATAAATATCCGATATTATTGTATCGGGTATTTACCACTAGCATTCGTATACTAGTGTTCATATTCGTCCGCTTTTACATCTGCACAACAGGGCTGAGGAGGTATTGTGCTGACAACTTAATTTCGAAATCTCACTGAGAACAATAGTTGACATCGTTTCGTTTGAAAATATTTGTAGCAATCGTATTTATTATCCTGTAATTAGGTATTGTCTCTGTGAATGTATTCAAAATGTAGCCGTTCTTCCACAAAAACAGTGTGTCGATTAGTTAGTTTTCTTTATTATTTCTGACCATGCTGCAGTTAGTTTCACACACTCTACATATGCCATGATGGCAAGCTCTAGAGGGAATGCGAAGCCGAATAGGTTAACACAATTATTGTTATTACGTGTATACGTACGATGTTTGTGAACCAGCAGTTGGTAGCGGTGGTTTGAATTTAGTAGGTCATCAGCCTATAATTCGACTGTTAGAAGTGAAACAGAACGAGCCAAATTTATTTGCAGACGCCACTCGGGTGACTACAGGACTACGTACAATGGTTTGTCACTTAAAAGAGCGGTGCGCTGTCCGTGCGTAAACAAGAAACTAGACAAAAAAAACTGCTAGGCAAATTCGTAACAAGAAAGATAGTAATTGCGTACGTTCTCTAGACGGCGTTAAATCTATTTTGTAAACAGGACCTGGGATATATCAAGGGACACAATAAGGTTCAACCGTTTGAATACTTTTTAAATGTCTTAAATACATAACAAAAGAAGTGCAGTTGCATGAAATGATCCTCTGTAAACTCTGTCTGGTACTGATATTGTTTGAATAAACGTTTCAGATGTGTATTTATCTGTTGTCTTTTTTGGCTGGCGATTACGACATCTAGCCCGTGTCAGCAGCACGCTATATTGTGTAAGAAATCGGAAGTGATGTTTTAAATGGCTCCTGGAACTCGAAAAAGATGGCTATGTAATTCGAATTTCCACAGTTATTGGTGAATTATATTTGATAATATAATTCGCTCTATTACGATAGGCTAACGTTTGCTTTTCCTTAGTTAGTCACCTTAGCTGATAGTCCATAAGGTTCGCTGCAATTACACAGCATTAATATTAGAATTTGTTGCTTAGTTAAAAGTAGTGAAGAACACAGTACAGTAAATGTTGTCTATGACCTAACCTAGCACCCGCGCATTATTCATTTCTTACTTTACCGTCGTTTGTGATTTGTGGGGGTACGCCAACAATACGACGTAGGCTAACTGTTTCTAAGGTGATCTCCTAATAGTTGGCACGAGCAATCGCAAATCACTGTTTGGTTTCACTAAGCATCGAATATTATATTGATGATGCTCATCGTTTTCATGCCTATACACTTTATATCTGGTCTATAACGCAGATAGCGTACTTAATTTCATAATCATTATATTCTATCAACAACACACGATATGCCACATTTGCAATCCATTTTCTCTACTTATTTTTCTATTCTCTCGATTTCCCTATTTTCTCTATAACTATTAGTTAATGGTGTTCTATGATAAGACTGTCGTGCATTTTTATTTTGCAGAATATGAAATTTTCTTCTGCACAGGGTCACATACAGACGTTAGATAGGCCAGTACAAGTAAAACAGGAAGTCATTGGCCATACGGTATTTCCTTTTGGGGGTTTTTCAATTCTTCACGACGAAGCAACGATACCGTCTAATGCTAACAATGTGTATCTCAGAAAGGTAGCGAAGGACCCTACGTTTTATGCTTTCGAACCCGGACGGTTTTCGACAGGAAGGACAGCGATTGACTATTTTTAAATTCCACTACATAACCTTACGTCTTGATTTGCCTATGCATTGCACACGCTTGCAAGGTATCCCTCAACGGACATCAACAAAGGAACTTCAATTGATGTACAAGCCGACCGTTATCTAAATCAAGGGAATTGCACGACCATATGTTCCACGGAAATATTTTTGTTGAAGAACGTCACAGAAAACGAAATGCAGCCAACACATGGAAGTGCCTATTAATCAGCTCGATCGTTTTAGAGTGTATGTTGACAACAAAAAGTACATGCATGAGTATATACATACATAGATCATATTAGTAGCTAGAAAGATAGTACGTACACTTTTGCCGTTACTACAAATTTACGTGTACTGATTTTCCTGTTCAACCGAACCTTCTCATGGTTTCGCAGCTATACGAATCTATAGGCTACGCTTGAACTGCCCTTTAACCTCTGTCATAAGATTATGTAACAGTTATAAAAGTTATTTTACCGTCACTGGGCAAATACAAATTTAAGTTAATAAAGCTTCGTGCCAGCTAGAAAGCAAGCAAAATACTGTGCTTAGTGTAGATCGATTAAACACACATTCTTACGTTCAGTCATGTCAGCTACGTACGTAGCACCCAATTACGAAGACTAATTAGGCTCACGAGCTGCGCGAGGATATGAGCAAGGAGTACTGTGAGAAACTCATAAAAATGAAACAGTTCTGCTTCACATCATCATGGTCCTGCTCACGTTTGTCTTATACCATTTTTTACTTAAAATAGTTGCTCTGTCTAGTAATGTTTGTTGTTGACTTCTTTTGAATACGTGTAAAGATAACATTTATCAAACTTTATATGCTCGTAACCTAGGATTAAGTTACGAGCATATCAAGATTCACTTTCTAGTGCTAATTTTTACAGTAGAATCAGCTAACAATAAGTACACACTGTAACATTTCGTTAAGACAATGTCTTTAGAGGTTCTGTCAATATTGTTCTTAATTCAATATTCGCGATCCTCAGCGATGGACGTCATTTCTGGCAGCAGTCTTCTGCTGTCGTGACCATACTTTTCGTTTCGATACGAGTATGATACCTTAACGCTGAAGGCATCTAGGGCCAATTCAAGAATATCTTCCAATAAGTTGCACTCAATCTTCACTGCACATCCTACGCACGTAAACTTTGATATTTCGTAAGATCCTATCACATACGACGTCGAAACGGTAGCAAGTTCACTGATGGTTTTTGTTAACGGTGCAGTCCAATGAATTATTATCCAGTCGCATTGTATCGCAACACCGTGCGGATAGGTACGTCCGCTACAATGGGTTTTATTTTACCTTTTATTTCAGCGTTTTTCTAGAACCATTTTTTGGCCGAAACTTGCCATACTGCAGTTTTTAATTTTTTTTACCGACTTACCCATACTTTTAGACGTTCCTATTTACTCGCATCTTTTTTTTACGGATTCGTTTTTCGCGTGTTTTTGTCTCCGCCCGCTCAGCTGTAAGCCTTCGATCACGAATCATCGGCAACGCAGATCTTTCGTCACGCATCTTCGTCGGTGGCTTTCTTTTGCCCTCAAGGGCGGGAAATGTGTTGGATTTTGCCGCGCAAGTTTTGTCCTCCTCCAACATTGAAACTTCCGATTTCGGTTCATCTGAAGGAAGCGGCTCCGTTATTTTCGCCGGTTTCATTACGGATGATTCCTTGTCGCTCGTATTAGCCGTGACGAGTTTTGGGGTTAATGGCGTTTGAGACGTTAAGATTTGCAGTTTCTTGCTTTTATATTGTGCCATCCTGTAATTCGACTTTGATGGTGGTACTGACCTCGTGGTCGACTTTAATGCTTGTGAGCTAACTGTTAATGTCTTGATATTGGCCTTGGGCTCCTTCGGGCTTTTCAGCGGTGCGTTGCTGGTCGATGACCTACCGTCCTTTGGATGTGCACTGCCCTTTGGTCCAAGCAATGCTGGTCCTACGAAATTTAAATGACTCGAAGATTCTGGAACACCGGCGAGTTTCGGCGGTCTAGATGCTGTAAGAATGGAATTCGTTTCATCCTCTACTAGATCGCCTAACTGAGCTCTTTCTATTAGTGTGGCATTGGTCTGAGACATCTGAGAAAATAAGCTGTCCATTGTCATCCCTTGAGATGTCTCCGAATCATTGGCATGATCTGGCGATGTCGGTTCGGATTTTCTGTCTTTCGACATTAGATCGCCAGTCTCTGAATCATGATATGCGTCTTGAACCTTAACATTGGTAGGGTCTTCATCCAACTGTTCGCGTTTTACAGCATCCTTCGGTAAAAGGTCGCTCATCCTAAGGATCTCTAGTGCTCTAGCCTTCGGAGCTTTTGGATATGAATTTTGCTCTTTCGTTGTTTTCACAGTGTTTGCTGTTTTCGCTGGCTTTAGCGATCTTTTCGTCCTACTTTTCGCGTTCGTATCCGACGACTTCGCGGTCTCCACCGAATTGAATGATGTGGGAAATTTGGGCATAGACTGAATTTAGCCCGTTGGTGGGACACCGGCCTTCAACACGGTCAAGTCGAGGTAAGCCAGTTTATGCACTCCTTTCTTAGTTTTGACCTGTACATAAAATTCAAGCAAATTCGATGACGAACTTTTGGCAAGCCGGGTGAGTCTGCTGAGCCTGATCGATCCCAGGCGAGCAGCAGCACTTTGCTTTTCAACAGTGCGCGCTAACGATTATTGAAGGCCATGGTTAGCAGAAATCGTTAAAATTGATCCGCTCTTTTTAACCTGGTGAATGCATAGTTTTAGCATATTCGGTGCGTCATTTATTTTCCGAAAAGCAGCGCCGTACGTGCTAACTGTAATATCCTTTGAATTCGTGAGGGTCAAGTTTTCTGTAGCGGATACTGTTGCGGATTTCGCAGTGGCAATTCTGATATCTTTCAAATAAGTTTAGTTCTGTTCAAGTGGCATCATTTGAACTAGGCGCTTTTGTGGTGACGCTATTCGTTGTTAGCACAACCGCTGTCCGGGTTACCGCGTGGCGCAGTCATAATAGCTGGTACTCATGTTTCTCTGCGTTTACCTTAGGGCCGGCCTTCTTATTCAGGTCGTTCTTCGTCCTCATATTACACTTCCAGTTCTGTTGTCAACTTTTACCCCAATAAAAATCAACTCTCAATGATTTTATTTTTCTATTTTTACTCCCTGCAGGACCAATTCTTGTTTCCATCATCGATTTGGTCAATGCTGCGGTGTTCGAAGCAGCTACACTGCGGTCGTGCTGCCCGTACGATCGTAGATCATAAATATACAACGATGAAAAACACGTCTGGAATGCCAGAGGCTGGACCCACAGCGGTGGCGATGCTCATTCGATGCTGACCAACAGTGCAGTGAAGCTCTTGCTTCTCTTTCAGATTTCCTAGAAAGTTAAACCACGGTTTTTACAATATAATATGGACGAAGCTATTACATATATATACCTACAGACGGTGATAATGGTATCAACTGGTAGCGACCATATGAACGTGTAGAGTTTGGGACTCATGAAGTAGCCAGGAGAAACCACAGAAGTAATCACATGTCGATATGGGCCTATTTAGATTTAGCGGACAAAGCGCTTGTTTGGTCACTTGCACGAAGTTAGCAATACAGTTCGAAGTTACTAGACAATAGCAGACGTTCCTGGAATAGCTTATTGTTCGAATCCGGGCATAGAAACACTTGGTTTCGTGCTGGGAGCTAGCTGTCTGACGGAATGCCTAAGGGTGATGCCACATAGGATGTAGGTGACATTCTAAAAAATGCCGTTAACCTGCGGAAAATATTTATTTTAATAATAATAATTTTAAAGCAGTGAGCAAAGATGGGGTGTAATATAATAATGAAATTGGACGACGCCAGCATGATTTAGCTCGAACTGATCTTCTGCGTCGCAGCAAGCTATATTGGCAAGGTTTTCATTGACCCATGACGTCGCAGACCTAGGTGTTTTGATATATCGAGTCAGTCACACGTGCTTAATACATTACGCCTTGCCTCAAGTAGTCCGATATGGTTGGTATATATATACTTGAGGATTTCTATATTACAATGCTACATTTCCAGAAATTTTATGCTTAGGAATAACTCCTACATAAACAGTCAAATTATCATGCCTGTATGATTGTTTTTGAACGACCCTGCACATATAAACGCAAATGTGTAGATCCGAAATTAACTATTCATCAGGATCATACTTGCGTGACATATATTAACCAGCACAACTATCAGCGTATTTTCTTTCAACCAATATGAATTTCGCGATCGTTCCTGCAAGGCCGTTTGTTGAAGTGTAGTGTGTTTCCTGTGCAATGTTTGAATGTTAGTTTTGGGCTTCGTTAGACGTTGGGTTGTTGGATGCATACGTTACTCTATTCCTTATTTTATACAGATTGTGAAGCGTGTACAAGGGGCCTAGGAATCTGTGAGCTCTAATTGCCATAGATCTGCAGGATTTAAACCCGCTTTGGGTTGTCGTTGACATTCGGCCTGTTCGCTGCCGTATGAATTTTACTGTGTAAAAGCATCGTGTGTAGTGATTTAAGCTGGAACAGCGTCCTACTATCCTCAACATTAACGGCACGCATTCTGTTTATCGAACTCGCTTTCGGATGTACCACTGCCATATAGATCGCCAGGCTCGCGTATGTGTCAGCGCACTCCCAGTGTTACTATTTTACAGTGGACGTGTAAATAAGGGGTTCATATTCTAAGTAAGCTATTTATCTAGCTATGCGAATCCCTTAGCTGGTTCCGTTATTGCTAATTACTAAGTGTACTCTTTGTCGCTAGACGATTCCCGCATTTAAAAAGTGCCCATTTTATACAAAGGTATAAAACTATGAATGGCTTACGGTGAGCAGTGGCCACTGCTTATAATGATTAGAGTAGCTAGTCCAATGAATCTACCATACATTCAGCTTTTCAGATGCGAGTTATCATCTCCCTGCCGGCAAATTTTGTACTGCAGCAATGAAGTGCCTTCTACGTCATACAGAATAGAGAAACTTGTACAAACGTCAAAAGCTGGAAATCCAAGGATGTACGTGTAGAATAGAGAACAAATTAAGACTGGCTCTGAGCGAGTTGTAGAGGACGTAATAAATGGAAGGTTGTATCAGGCTGAAATGATTAGGAATACCGTTTAAATTCTAGCTTATATTCAGTGCTACTTTTCCGTTGGCGAACGATGAAAAGAAAGTGATTTCTATGTGGAGTTTGAGTATGACGAATTTTGTCGTCACGACGTAAAACGTTTCCTTGAGTAATCCTTGGGATTCACTAGACCTAACGTGGTGCGTAATACTAATGGTATTCTCGTTGAGCAAATATGCGTCCTAATTTCAAACACTGCGTTGCTAGATACTTGCATTATAACACGTCGGAAATTGACTTGGTATAACTTCGGTAAGCTGCAATATTTTGCTACTGTTTTTTCTTTATTAATATATCATACAGAAAACGTGCGAAGTGCGTTGCGTTAAGGTTTTTTATTACAGATTTTATTATAAAATAGCTTTGGGAAGTGCCTATGCGTAAAATGCACATAGCTTCTATATAACCATCGCTAGTTTATTACGCTTGTCGTTATATCGCGCAGTATTGTCTAAATTAATCTAGCATGTTGGAGCTCCATATAATGCTATAAGCATATCACATAGACGATCTGTATCGTCAGTCCTATGATAAACGCCCGAAAATTCTTAGATGTGAAAAGATGAACGCGTGAATCGATGCATAGCATGATCCGATTCGTCCAGCGACTTTGCGTGCGTGCGCGCGTGCGTGCGTGCGTGCGTGCGTGCCTGCCCGCAACTATAGGCTGGGCCCGCGCAGGCCACCTTCGTTTCGACGTAGTTACATCGCACACCGAGGTGGATGTTTGTGTTGTTAATGTGAGCGCGCAATTCGGCTACTCGTAAGGTTCTCGGAACAATCGACAGGAACGCGTCTCCGCACTAACTATGCCAGCATCGGCATTTCACTTTGCGTTCAACATTGTCATATGTGACACAAATCTGACACAGTGTATACATGAGGCACAGCTCGAGCCGCCTTTCTTGTTCAGCAAAACTGTTCTCGGTACGACAAGGCAAGAACACGCATTCCAGTAGTGGCCAGTTTGTGTGTCAAGGTAGCGTGAGAAGTAAATGCTGATAGTAAATTTGTGAACTATTGACTAAAATATTGAGCCCGCTAAACCCGCATGCGTTGTTTGTTGTTTTCGCCAGCAGAAACGGCACTGGTGCACGTGTGAGCGCCCCGGGGAGGGGGGGTGAGGGCGATTGAGATAATTGATGGAGTTGCTTTGTCTACGTTGTACATAGTGTACATACAGGGTCCAAGTAGGTTTTATCTTGCTCAATTTTTGATGAACACAGCAGTTTTGCTACTGCTACCAGCAGTACTATTGAATTTTCGGATATCGTGTAATCAGAAGTATATTAGCTTCTTTCATACTGCTATATCGATGAGGGTTCATTGATTCGCAATGGGGATTTTCAAGTTTGCTTGCTTACGCTAAGATTTTAGAGGAGATCAGCACCGGACAGAAGGTTTATTATGAGTAGATATTTAACGTCAGAGGATGTCTTTCTAAATCCCCTATACATATATATATATATATATATATATATATATATATAATTTTTGTCGCCATGATTCGATTCAGTATTCCATCAGATTTTCCGAATTTATGTAGAAATTTAGTTAAATCATTGTTTGAGGGCGCTCTACGCTTCAGGAGGTGTCGTTTGTTTCCAAGCGGTACGCAGCAAGCTGTGTGTCATCAGCATTGTGCCTCAAAAGTGGTTAAAAAGTAACTAGGCTGTCAGCAGTTTGGAAGTCCTTTTCGGTTTTGCACTACATGCATACTTCAGAACTCCTATTCCCAAATGTTATAAGAATGTTTCAACAATTGTCAAGATGTTTCAAATATGGTGGTTTTAGTTATCATCCCAAAGTGGCTGTCACAAGAAGTGAGTAGTATTTACCTTGTAACCAACAGGACACTTTTTTAAGACGCAGTAATAATAATATATGTTCTAGTAATAATAACAGTCCAAAGAGCACATGACGCTGTGCTCGACACCGTCCACCGGATCTCCGAGGCTCAACAGATGTTTGCTTGTCTAAATCAAGAAAAAAAATTTGTGTCGGTCATGTGTGCATAGGTAGCTCCTTTACCATCGACACGACTAGTTATGTGCAGATGAATTTATCTATGTATGAGTAATATCCATAAAAAGATAAACAATCAACCTTTAACGATAAATAATGCACTTTTTCTAGTTTCAGCCAAACACATGTCGAGTCCGACACCCTCACAGGGCCTTGCTAACCTGGGTGAGCCCACAGCCTCCGCCGATTCTCCGGATCCACTGAAACCCCTGTACATCAGCTTTGATGATACCAATGACCAGGCCAACAGCAACGACAGGGAGAAATCAATACAGCCTGCAACGAATGAGGCTGTTTCCACAGCACCTGCAGTGTCGGTAACTAAACAAGTAAGAACATCGGAGCCGGTCGGAACTGTGATGGCCGAACGGCGACCTCCTTTTGGATGCGCCATTTGCGATCGTTTTGCGTCTACTGACATCGATGAGCTCGAGGGTCACATCAACGCTCATCGAATGTACGTACCATAGAAACGTATTCGCAATAAAATCACATAGTCAGATAAATTTCGCATTGAGAATATCAGAATAGGATTATTAGCCCATTGAAGCCACCGCACTGAGTCGAGATGTCCTTAATTCGTGCCTATATACGCAGCTAACACTACGTATTGGTTGATTGACAAGCTTCGCCTTCATGCGTAATGGATTTAATCGCGTTTAGCCGCAGTGAGCTCTACGTCACTATTTTGTATCACTAATTAAGAGTGGAAGCCCAGTTATTCTTGCGTGATCTTCTGAATTTCTTCCTTAACAATGGAGACTAGTAGTTTTTTGTTATTTTATAAACGTGCTTTAAGTATTTGTTAGCAATTGCTCGTCTATTTGAAACAAAGTTGATGCGCCAATCGGAACGAAAGGATCAATAAAGCTAGACTTATACGCGCTGACAGTGCTCTTCTCTTTCATATCGTATAGGGACCTCGTCCGACACCTACACCTTCATCCTGTTTCAGAAGCTGTTGAATTGGCGACGCAGGCTTGTCAGCAAGGACAGTCAGTAAACGGTGCTTCACGGCCTTCGGAATGGCGGCGATCAGATATGCCTAAAACGAGTTATAAGGCCTTAGACAGCCGAAATAACAGTTTTAAACAAGGAGGAATGCAGCGTTCAATACCCACTGCGCAAATCGGGCCCAACATACACTATGCGAGCGGTAATTATTAACACCGAATATGAAACCGAGCTCAAATCGTTTATCGGCTGTGCGTATTTGTGTGTTTAAACCGTTTTTCCAAATAGTGAATGTTCATACGACGCACTTCTGAGTTTTGAGCTCGTTTCAAGAACACCATATTTTTTTACTTGCTAATTAGCCGTTCTGCTATTTAGCTTTTTACAGATTATGTATATATTACTTAGAGAGTAATTATGAACTTTGAGAGCTCGTTATTAGATACCATATTCTATGCAATATTGATTACATTCATCGTAAACAGGACATCTACTTTTTGTTTCTATATCACCAAGAGGGTCCCACAGAGATTCGTACACATAGCCCACCTCCCGTGCCGATACAGCCCAGAACTGAAAATTATCGAACCAGCGATTCTTATGATGTAGCAGCGTTTCAACATACGGCCGATTCCTTTTTGACCCATACGGTTTCTGGCACGCAGGTCTCAGAGGTACGTCAATGTTGGGTTAACTCAATCTTTCAACCTGTTTTCTTTATTAACATATGCTATTTAAGTTACACACGGTACGCGGAAGGACTTTATTTAGATAATTTCACGCAAACTTGGTCGTATATTACTGGCTTGACGAATCTTCGTAGTTTTTCGAGAAGAATGCTTAATGCTGGCTTATGTTCTGTTATCGTGTCTTTGATAACATAGTGGTCAACATTGTGCCTATTAAACGTAGGTACACATGAGGTAGTCTGCATTTCTATGCCGGGCCTAGATACACTCTGGTTCGAACTCGGAGCCATCCGTTTGAAACAAAGCTTAATGGCCATATGCGATGTAGTGAGATTTGTTTTGTCCGCAGAAGGTCGGTTGTTTCTGCTGAGTGTCAACGAACCAATCAGTCAATAAGCCTGGCAGGAAAATTTCTAGCGCAAAGGCGCTCCTGCCTACAGGGCCGATTCATGTAGTGCGGTGTACATTTGTTACCTGTAGCTAAAATCATATAACGCATGTCTGTCTAGCTGTTGTTAAAAAAATCGCATACAAAGGTTAGTGACGCTGTTGTGCATGTACTATCACTGAAACAGAACAATAGGATACGTTTCTTCGATTAACAAAGGCTGTATTGTATATGTCGTTACCGGAACTTGGAGCAGCGACCTCTGGTCTCCTTCAACTAGGGGCGTCGAAGCGATTACCTTTACTAGCAAATGTCGAATGAAATAATGCTAAAAATCAGTACGTATAGCAACTGAATGACCAGCATCACGTGATTCGTGATGCCCTGTGTGTATGTTTACAACGTGGGCTTACAAGAGCCAGAAATGGGGTTATACGAAGAGGTCAGTCACACAACAAAGCTAAAAAAATCTACTGATCGAAAATATCCACCGTGTAACGCATATGTTGACAATATCGCTTTGGCTGCGATGCCAATGAAATGGTCCAAGTGGCTTTTTAAGCAGTCGTATATAACGCGTTGTTAATAACCAGGAGAAGCATGCACATTAAGATACCATGTACATATGCGCACCCCAACTAAGTTGAGACCATATGCTTGTTCTTATTTTCTCCGTAAGGTCAGCGTCGGCAACAGCTGGTTTCTTACACTCGGTGTGCTTAAAATGCAGTGGCCCATACAGCTTCACCTCATTTGGTTGTTTGATGATTCCGTTGTTTAATAAAAGTTCGATAAAATGCAAAAATTATTTGGCCGTCTCACAGGCTAATTAAAAAAAAATCCAATTACACGGATTGCACTAGGTTTTCGATTTCTGTGAATTTCTAGAATTGTGCCATATTGATGGATAGACTAGAAGAAACGTCGTAGTCCATATACTTTTACACCTGTCTATATGAGGTGAGGATGTTGCTTTATGCTCAACCTAAAAGGATCTTCTAAGGACAAGGTGATTGTGGATTTTGATATATTCGTTATGATGAATTGCATTGATATTGGATAAGATGCAAAATGTCGCTGAATATATTATCACATGATGAAAAAAGATTGGTACTTAATCGGTTACAGATACTTCCTGTGAGACTGCCTCCTTTTCATTCAAGTTTTTCTGGCAGAAAGAGGTCTCAGCATCCGCATCTACTTTATCAGCAGCACGTTGATCAATGGCCGCGTCCTGTACATTCAGCCGATCACGCCGGCGCTAGTTCATCGTGGATGCTACAGGGACGAGTGGACGAAGGACATGCATGGGCCGCGGTATCTGAACGAGACACAGTGACGAATCAACCCTCTGATCAAGTCCAGCGAGTGGATCAGCTTTTAGGTAAAGTATATATCACTGGTGCAAGCCCCACTCTAAACTTCTCAGGCCTCAGAGCAAAGAAAAACTCAAGAAATGTTTCAATAACCATGGCGACGCCCTATTAATTAAGGTATATATCATTATTCAGCTTATAGCCATTCTGCTGAGATACAATACTGCCAATTTGAGCTGATCCAAATCATATCGCTTTTACCGTCCCGACTAGAGAGATAGACTGTATTTTATGGATTTGAATTTTTTTGCTCTATTATTAATCGGCAGAGCACAGCAGCGACGTCCTTGAGACCGTCGTCAAACTGGAATATCACGAAATGCAGCCATCGATGTCCGGACTCGATCATTTCACTATCGATACCGCTACTGACGACAACAACGACAGCATCAACACGAGTTACAGTAACAGTCTGGCACCCAGATGGAGCCGCAGTGGCAGTAATAGCGCCAGCAACAACGGCAACACATCAGTTGCAACTAATCCCACCGGTAGGCAATTGTGCTGGTCTAAGGAGCAGCAACAATTGGCCCCCAGACAACCTCTGTCACCTACCCCAAGCAGCAGTCGTTGGGACCCTCACGAGCTGAGGCAGTTCCACCAGGCATGGACAATTGAACCACCTCCCAAACTAGTGATCTGTCAGCAATTTTCGAGCGTAGACTGGGAACAAGGACCGAAAGCTTACTGTGTCCCCAGTAAGGCAGAGAAGCCCAGGAGGTCTGCGCTGGCAATCGAATCGAAACGCGATTTCGGCAGTACGAACAGTGCGACCGGTGTAGCGTCTATCGCTACTGATAGGCTCGGTTCTCGCGAAACAGCAGCCAGCACTACAGGACCAGTTGGGTCTAAGAGGAAAACGTACCGCGCCGATGCAGGAGATGCCGGCTCGACTGCAAGCAACACTGTCAGCAGCAAGCCTTCTTCAATTGAAAAACATGGCTCTGTCAGCTCTAGCCGGTAGGTCTGAATAACGCACAATTGGCTGATTTCGCGTTACTGAGTTTACTCGATTCAATCGGCGCGGCGTAATGTGATGATGATTCAAAGACTTCACTAGCAAAAGGCCTGGAGTAACATTCCACTTTAGGCAAGAAATGTTATCTAAAATTTCAATGTATTACACCCAGATGGTTTTCCACCGGCTGGGAACAGCAAAGATCATACATAGCTTATCATTTTTTCAATAATAAAACTGTGCATGATAGCCTCTATTGATTGAATCGATAATCGAAGATATACTAAAGCTTCTAATATATTCGCTTGGCTAGATTAACGTCTACGCTACGTTACTTACGATAGATGAACCAGCATCTACCCTAATTGTAAGTAAATTCGTCTACGAAGAATTCCTGGTGTCCTGCTGACGTTTGTGCATGCTCATGTTTTTCTTCATGTCTTTGTCTGCTTGCAGTACATTCAAGAAGGCCGAGGACGGTTGTGTTTCAGACTTGGCAAATAAACAACTTAACGATCAACAACGAAGTGATACACATTCGAAACCTACGAAAGTCGAAAACTTCACGGTAAAAACGAGTGTCTCCAACAGCGCAAAAAAAACAGTGTCCCCAATAGCGACAATAGCCGTGAAATCTTCTCCGTGCGCAAGCAGTAATTCTGTCAAACTGCACAAGCCTAATAAAACTGTAGTGATCGCAACGAAGAGTAAACCCGTTGTGAAGGAGCTTGGCAGCTGCGTTAACCGAAGTTCTAGCAGTAGCATGGCTCATTCATCGCCGAGCGTTTCGGAAACTACCACCAACGGCAAAACAGCCTGTGCTCCTCGGCGAAGCACCCGGCTTCAGGGAAGACCTTCACGACGATTTGGCCTTCGTGCCGCCTATCATTAAGTGTCAATGGACCCATTGTGTGGCGCATGCAATACAATCGATTTGACGCAAAACTCGTAAAGGTTGATGTATATATATATATATATATATATATATATATATATATATATATATAACAACACCATTGTTGTTTAGGCCACGTGCGTCCTATTCCAGCTACCCATTAGATAAGGGAAAATGAGAACGTTGGGAAGGTAATTGTCACAAACCAGTGCCAAGAGTTTATCGTTAGTTTTCTCATGTTACTGTTATGTTTAATTGTAAAGCTAATACATTGTTTTCTTGTACTGTCAAATAACATTAATGTGGTAATAGCGATGATGGCAGCCATTTGCTTTTTCAAGACGATATGATGTGTCCGCTGGTGTGACTCTGATTTCTGCTCAACAAAAAATCGGCTAAATAAACCTACCTATGCAGTGATTTGAGACCGAGACAACTTTTCTCATTTCAAAACATTTATTTAGATTTTATTTGTATCATAGATTTTTAGACTTGGTAACTAATAATTTCACAAATTACACGAAGAGTGGAACAAGGAAGTGATAGGCAAATCGGGCAAAGAAGATACTGGCAAAATTTCGAATATTTGCACCTTTTCGCTTTCCATATTTTTGAAACGGGGCCTGAGGTCATCGATGGGCGGGTTGTATTTTCATCCATTAAATTTCACGCTTGCTAAAATTTCACGCTAGCGAACTCAGTTGGGCGGCCCAAGTCAGTCATCCATTTTGTGTTTCGCTAAAAGTAACAGGTTGTCGCTTCTATTGAAACCATGTACCTAAGCGGAAAGTTTGTTGGCGGTTTGATTGTGGCAAAGACGACGAGACGCTGGCACTCTCCGCCAGTATAAATCGAACCTCCTGAAGCCGAAGCTAACCCTACTTCATCTATCAGTAATTACTAATGATACAACTGCCTTTGGCTGGCGTCGTTCTCCTTGGGAAAATCACACGCCAGCTCCTGTTAGAGACACCTAGTGGGTAGCCGGAAGTTTCAGCTCCTGTTAAAATCGATCTATTAATAATAATGATAGTGCATCACCTACCTTGCAGAACTGTTATCTTGAGTTAAGTTTAACTAGAAAGATTACCTACGTAACAGTAATAAACGGTAACGAAGTATGCGTATCAAGATACCTTTACAATGGAACGCCGCAGCAAATTATAAAGGTAGTGGCAAGCTAGCTGTTAAAGTGTACTCTTTTCCAATCTATTTTGTAATCTAGATAACAACTGCCGCATACAGAGCTCTGAAAAGTATATCGATGATATTTGTTTGTTGGACGAGCATTTAATTAGATCTTTAATCGATATATACATGTAGATGGAAAACGAAATCGATCACTGTTCAAGCGTCAGCTGATTGCCATCACGACACGATTCATTAACGAAAATATGGGTAGTTATATAGAATAAATTGTTTTCAAACAAGGGCATTAGGTTTGCCGATTTACTAGTCAGTGTTATCACGTAAATCTGTTGTCAGCGTTTACAATATCCTTCTACTTGGACAAATGGCGTACTGCAATATAAAGGCTTTGCGTCAGCGTGTTTTAAGTCGAGGAGGAGCACACTGTGCTAGTGCGGGTAGTGTGCACTGCAATATATGTATATATTGGAGATTTTCATCATTAGCTGGATCATTTATGCATAAGTAGACGGTTTTCGCTTACGTGTGTTCTGCGCTAGAGGTTGATTGATTGATTGATTGACAAACTAACGACTAACTTGAATCTTTTAATATGCTTCAACAGAATGCCACTTCAGATCTGCTAAATACACAGGCAAGTCAATGGACCTAAATCGATTTTCGGCGTTAGGTTATTAGGTGTAGCAACGCAGGCGTATCGTGGCAGAGTGGCCGATGAAAATACTCTGATTTTCGTTTTGGCACGATCTATTCACGCCCTATTCCCTTTCAGTTCGACTAGTTGTTTGCCTTATCCCTATGCAATTATTTATCGCGGAAAGGTCATAACGTCCCTTGAAAACTAATTCAGTGTTCTAACGTTGCGACATTGTTTTTACTGTTAACCTCTCAGGCACGATTGCTCGTCGTTTCTTTTCGATTACGTGATATCTCACTCCACTTTTCATTTTACTGCACAGTCTCACAGCTGCACAGTTTCCAGACACGGTACGGGATATAATTAAAGTTCTGCTATGATCAGTATTTCATCAAAGTCAGCAGCCCAAAACGCGATACGGTGTCAGCTCGTACTGGGCCTATGTGAAATATATATAGAAGGCTAGAGACTACTAGGCTACGCCAAAGCTGTTTGATAAATAACACCGAGTGCTATTTACAGGAAAAAAATGTATCAAACCCTGCACCGAAATGTGTTTCCAACAATGATAACAGCGAATCGAGCAGACGAAAAGGTCCTGATGGGCCTGAGAGCATCCGTATTGGTGTATACTGTCTCTTCGTAGCGTTTCTGTGTTCGGCTGGGTTCCGATCAGCCGGCTTTCTTTACATGGGCATCATGGACACATACATTGTGTCCCACAAAGACGCTTCGTGGCCGCTTAGCGTTATTGGAGCTATCACGAACCTGGCTGGTATGGTCGCATCCTAGGTAATTAACTAAAATATGAAAACGTATTGATTAAAATAGGTTACCGATATTATTTGACGCTTCCTAATAATACTGTTATTCTGTAATGAGATAAGCTAACATGATAAAATTGTGCACGTGTGTTAGAAGGACTTTTTACAAAGTAACCTAGGCAGAGTATAATTTCTCAATCAACTGTCCTCATAGGCGATTCACGCCTTTTTTCAGTTTTCACTTATTTCCAGTTTACATACGGTAGTGCTTCAAAGGATACTGCACTGGAGAGACTGGCTAGGCAGACGTACCTTTAAATGTGGCGTACAGCTTTGTAAGAAGCAGCATGTAGGAGGGTAATTATAACGTTCCTCTCGATATGAGGAACCTATGCATGGTGCTTGCAAAGCATATTATCAATTACCCCGTCAATACAAAATATTTAGAGTTTCTGTTTATATTCATAAATATTGGATTAAGTACTCTCACTCCAGACGGAGGCAGTTGCCGTACTTTTTGTATGTGACAAAAATCCCAGGGCGCAAATGTTGCTAAACCGATTGCTTTTTTAGTTGAGGCGGCTCAGCTATCTAAACGGTTTCGTGTGTTTGTTTCGACGCGTTTGAGATCGGCCTATGGTAATATAGCTCAACGTCTGCCATGTACTTTTCAGGTGTTATAGCTGGTCCATTATGCCAGCGGTATCCGACAAGGCCGGTTATGTGTTGCGGGGCTGTGGCCGCTTCTGCAGGGATGATTCTATCGTTTTGGGCACAAAATATCGCCCAGCTGACTCTGAGTTTGGGCATCCTTTATGGTTTCGGTTGTGGAGTAGTATTCACCGGTATCAACGTTGCCTTGTCGCAGCATTTTGACAAGTATGCATTCTGTTTGTCGGCTAGGATTGATAATGATGTGATTCTGCACAGGACACTCAGATCTGCCCATTTTACTATGCTTGCCGTCACTAGGACCTTTCTGCCCTTACTTGTTACAGAAAACATCGAGCTTTCACAAAAAAATTAGATGAATCACAGATAATTATAGCAATTATTGTAATGTATCTGTGGATGGTAGCGCCATAAAAAAACAGCGGCATCTATTGAAATTAGGACACCTTTCACATAGACTGACGGCTCAGTTGTAGCAATAAAGCCGACGCATCGCATGCTTAAATTACCGCAAGGAAAGGCTGACCATGTAAAGGACGTTGCAGTCGCTTCCTTTTTTTGATAATGCACCCTCGTATCACCGCTTACTGCTCCCTTTGTCCGTCATTTTTAGATACCGCGCGGTTGCCTACGGCGTTGTCTACGCAGGAAGTACAATGGCGTCATTCGTTTTTCCTAATCTGCTCTTAGCCCTTAGCTTGGAGTATTCCTTCAGGAATGTCCTACTGATTTTTGGTACGTTGTATTTTCACAAAAGGAAAAACACTATTCATACCTAAATAAGCAGCCCACACAGTATAATAGCTAAAGATGGAACTACGATGTCCTTCATCCAGAGTCGTGGTTTACATAAGGCGGCGTAGATTAAGGTCGTAAAGTTGTCGCCGCGATGACACTTACTTTGCACACGTTTGGTTCAATAGCATGAAAGAGGGAGTGAAAGTTATGGTGTAACGACGCATATATTGCGGATAGCGTATACTGTTCGCTCTACCTGATAAAGGTGGATGACCAACTGACGTAAGAATGAGCTAGCGTGTTCGAAACGGACACGAATGGTAAGAGGGTCTTCGATCGGCTCAGTCTTAAATAGATATCACAAAAGCGATGAAGCGTTCCAGGCGCGATATCGGCCATCGGAACACTTCACTTAGCTATTTTATAGCCTTTATTGGAAAGGTCGAAAAATTTATTTCGGATCCTAGCCACAAATTTGGACACCAAATTCAACTATGATATGAATAGCACTAATGAGGCTCAATTGCTTAAATGTTTGTAAAACTATAAAAGTCCCATTTTACTGAGGCTAAATTTGTGGCCGAAGTCCGCTTACTTCAAATTCTAGCTCTTCAGTAAACTGGAGCTTTGACCTTTGCTTCGAATTCAGAGTGACTAAAGGAGATAACATACTTACAGATGCTTATTTGCTTGCACGATTTGAGCTGCACGACATTCTGCGTTACGTAATACGGAAATTTGGTTCGTTGATTTTGTTGCATTCACTGCCAATCGCGATGGATGTCCACGTAAATGATAGCACACCTTTCCTATATGTCTAGCGTTGGAGACTCAAAAGAGATTTCTGAGTTATAGTTCCCCAATAAAAATCGATGCTTTCAAATTTGTTAATGAAGTGTATTATTCTTACTATACTATGGGAACGTGCCACACTAACAAGCAAGAGATCTAGCACCGAATACAGTTGGCCATTCCATATGCTGTGCACCGCGGTCTAGATGGGTACTGCGGGCCTCTGGGGGCACTGCCGTGACCATTGCTGATTCGAGTGGCAACGCTGGCAAATGTTTACTATGCTGTATGGTTACCATACTGTCTCATAGACCTGTTGGAGAAACCACAGATAAATCCAGCAAAATCCGCTCCGGCTAGAATCTTCAGATCAAAGAAGAGTTTTCGTTCTATAGCGAACAAGTGATTCCAAAGTTCACATAGTGGGACTGACTGCTGGTATAAGAACATACACGTTGTGCATATTATAACAGTCTTCATATACGCTCCGCTTAATCAACGTGTTATTGCTCTCTCGTTGTGTGACAGGGGGCATCATTACAAATATGTTCGCGCTCGCGCTCTGTATCAAAGAGCCTTCCTGGACAGCGGCCAGACCGTCCAAAACAATCGAGCAGAAGGATTCCGTCAAAAAGGCAACCATACGTGAAGCATTTGACATCTTTAGAAAACCGATTTTCTATGTGCTCCTTGTTTCAAACATTTTTTTTCAGTATGGTTTCGACGCATTTATGACTACACTGGTAAGTATCGTGTGGATAGTTCAAACCATTTAGGCAATGATAACGCTTAAACATCCTGAAATAGAGCTACTATTTCTTCACACCGGCGAGGTATGCCGTGTCTCTCATATCTCCAATACAATTGTTGCACCGTTCATTTTGTAGCCCTCTAACAGAACTGGTAGGCCTTCTACTACTAATAAGGTAACTGTGTTCTTTTGTAACAGGTGGATTTTGCTGTTGAGCGTGGAGCAACCCTTCAACAAGCCGTCAATCTGTTACCCTGGTTTTCTGCAGCTGATGTTGTGGGTCGTGGACTGTTTCCAATTATGGCCGACCGAGGTCTAATCGATCGAACCAAGTTTATTATGACGTGCTATATACTTACTGGTTAGTCTGAATTAAGAGAGCAGGTCGTTTGCCAGGGTAGTGGCTTAGGTGTTTTTCAATCAGAACGTTGAACGGCGACATTAATACAAAGCAGAGCCGTTCGGCCCTAAGGCATAGAATTTCCGTATTTACCAGACCAGGCCATATCGTTTTGTTGTTTTCTAGGCGTATTTACGCTCCTTTTACCGGCGACAAATACCTATACAGAGCTGGTCCTGTGCATTCTCCTGATGGGATCCTTCTGTGGCTGCGCGGCCGTCATGTTCCTGTGTGTGGTGAGCGACATTATCGGTGTGAGTCGATTTCCTCTAGCCATTGGCACGCTCGGTTTGACAAATGGAGGTTTCTACTTCACCAAGCCATTTTTCTTTGGATACTTTTGTGATGTCGTTCAGTCGTATGACGGAATGTTCCATATGACCGGAACGCTAACTTTATTCGTAGGTGTGTACTAGCTAAAGCCTGCTTGAATATCGTCGATTGTTGTCGTTAGTGATAATATTCTTAATGTCACTTGTAAAAATACTATGCTAAAGATACTAGACTTACTTGGTATTTGTTATAGCGCCTGTATCAGGCGTTTAAAGTTTTATGACAATCGCTAGCTCTAGTATGACGTGTTCGAACAAAATACAATCAGTAACTAGTATAGGCCAGGAAGACTTTTGAGCATAACCCACGTCATCCCTTTGGTAAATCCACGCTCAGGTACGGATCATTACGTACGAATCGTCGTGTTTGTTCCAATAATCTCTTGTTTAACATCTGTGCAGGGTTGGTGTGGCTGTGCATCATTGGGTCTAAAAGAAGTCGAAAGCATAGTTTCTTCCTAGGGACTTCGTCATGCTGTAAGTTTTTGAAGGTCTTACCGGTTCAGGACAACCGGAATCAACTGCCTGAGGTGAATACTTTTACAAACAGTCGCGTGACAGTGGCGACGCTACTTGTTTCATGATTGATCTTGAAAAGTAACAGCCAATGATTATGGTTACCCGCATCTCTTTTTTGGAAAGTACTTTTGCATAACTTTTTTTTTTTTCTAGGCTATTTTTGCACAACTATACTTATAGGATATTTTCAATTTGAGCATTGTATCAGGATATACGTTACCGCAATTCGCTGAACTCAATATGTATTTTAGGTGACAGTCAGTGCCATCAATCTGCAGCACAATGACAATCTAAAAGCACAGTCAAGCCACCGGATCGTCTAAAATAACCCTTCACTACGCGAGATCACTTCTCTTACATAAGTGAAATAAGCAAATACAGAAACACTGTCGGATCTGGCAGATCTACGACGAGAGCAATGTGAAGCCAAGGATTACTCGAGTAGGTATGCACACCAATAGTTTTAGAGAGACCGAAGTTTAAGCTACTAGGACGACGCTGGTGTATACCAGTAACCGTTATACTCTGTAAATATTATATATATTTGCATTAAAAGGCAAAGTTTATAAATATTGTTTAATATGATTTAGAAGTGGCCATATTTTGCCTAAAATAATAAAGGCGAAAGAAAGATCCAAAGCCAAGGAGCGAACCCGTTTCGTCGGAGCCCATATACCTAAATAAGGTCTCTAGGAATCAATCGACGCATTTACATCGAAGGACTTCTAGCGTCCCCACTACAGTTAACTTAACATTTTCTACTGCCTATTAAGTATTCGATCGATCGAACGTTAATGATGAAACTGATGATCCTTTTGCTCTAGGGGCAAAGCTATATGATATAATTAGGATATGATCTACGAAATATCTAATGAAACTTAGTTGAACATTTAATCGTTTCTAGCAGTGTATATGTACACATATAATTTTAATGGCCAACTGACAATAGGGCCAATCTTTCAAGGCGAGTCTGTTACATCTTGAAAATTGACTTTGGTCATTCACATACCTCAGAAAACTCGTGACGTTTAGAAATACTATTTTTTTTTTGTTTAAACTATTTTATATGATGGGAAGAAACTGAGTTGGAGCACTATTTGTAATTAAGCATTTGCGAGGGCCATCAAGCACAAAGGTTTTATGCTGGGTTTGACCTTCGGCTCCATGCCATCTATTATCTGTCAGAAGACTATTGTGAGCGATTTTCGACCGGACAATCAACATGGTCTCTGTTTAGTTAATATCGCTTTAAAAAAAAATAAAGATCTTTGTCGATGAAGCAAAGTTTCCGATGGGCACGTGTTTCTAATAAAGTTCGATGCAGTAACGGCTTTTAGCGTAGACTTCGATTAATAGAACGACTAGGTCAGGGCCGCGATATCTGCAAGTGTGCTCGACACTTGTTCGTTGTATCATGTGTTCTTCGTAAACGTCTGCTTTTCAAAGGGCACAATTTCGATCCTGACGCCTATCTATTTTCTTAAGACCACCATCTGATCGAAGGTATTTTCGTTAGTCAGTCAACTTGCGTCGAAGAAGCTGGCTCGTGCATTGTCCCGTGGGTTTTGCGAGTCGCGGTTGAGTGCGGGCGGTGAGGCGACTCCGTCTTCGTTCGTCTCACAATTCTTAGACTTCACCCAAGGGAAAAGAAACCGCGAAGGCGGGTCTGGTCGAAATCAGGAAACTGACTCGAACGTTGTAATATTATAGAAACGAGCCAACTTATACATACAGGCGTAGTCTCAAGAACTTTAAACTTTGCTCTCTACCAATTGCTATTAGAAAAAAGATAGAAAGAGTAGATTTTCGAGCAAACGAGGCAAGTGGCAGATATGCTGAGGAAATAAGATGGCTTTTGGTGTACTAAAACGCAAGAGATCATTGAGAGGCTGGTAGGATTATAAAAAAACGAGTAAGGATTGAAACGTGCCATCTCAGTTTGTCTGCTGTCTGCTCTGTCAACATACGTACTACATATGGCTAACTTCACTTAGATTCTCTGAACGATGAACTGCGTATTTCTCTAGCGTGAACCAAAGCGTGAAGCCAAATAGGACTTATTTCCACCATTGACCCTTGTATAAATCCATATAGGTTCCAGTTTCATGTATCGAGCTCTCTTCATAAATATTATAAATATTCCGCTCTCCATTAACACAATCGACGGAATCGTTCCGAAACAATCGTTGTAGGTACACGAGGAACGGACTATTGTGGCTGTATAGTTCGTCGTATGCGTAGGACTAGGCATTTACGAAAGCGCGGTTGAAGATTGCGTGCGAATCACAATAGGAGATAGCCAAATTATTCAATGAAATATGTCGCTATTTTCAGGAAGGGCTATCTTGGTCTGGTAGGACCGGCTGTCGACTATAGTAAAAAAAAAAAACGAAGCGCGAGGAAAATATGTCGGCTATTTTTCTTCAATAGTCGTTGGGTTTTAGCTGGAGGTGTGTTTAGTTCGTTTGTGATTCTGTGCGAAGGCCCGTAGATCGAGTTAGCCTTAAGAATAGACTTGACAGGTACTCTCTTGTTATTACAAAGAGAGGGAGCGGTTATTGCAAAATGTCTAAATATATATACGAAGCTTTGGAATGAATATTTACCTGTGCAATTTACTCATTTCTTATGAATATTTTCGGCCAAGTAGCGCTTGATTTTACATTAATTAGGCAGTTTAATAAAGAAAAAAGTATAGGGTACACGAAAGACGTTTAGGTTTAATAGCGCATAATATATATATATATATATATAATAGTGCCTGACACATAGGATCGTCGAGCATTATTTTTTAGTTGTTAAAAATCGATTTGGCAGAGTTATACAGTTTTTCCTTAATCTCCCATTCTACTTACTTATCAAAACAGTCTATGCTCTGTGAGATTAGCCTTGTTTTGTAGGCCCCGAACTATTTTGACGGGTGTTCTATCCGCACAGAAGTGCGTGGTTCGTTCAAAAGATGGATGCCCTCGAAAATTGCAAAATTACCGCCTTGTGTGGCGAACAGCACCTGCCGTTTGGATAGAAGCTGCACGAAAATTATTAGGGGCAGACAATGGAACTAAGGAAGTAAGACAGGGGGATATGAAATCTACGATGGCGACCCACCCCCGCACACCATAAATATCACCAGTAGATGCAGCGAACACGGCAGCGTTCATCGGTAACCCGATGACCTTTTACTACGTTGAAGCTCATCGAAGAAGAAACGCTCAGCGTGCTATATGACACTGTTATACGACTCATTATATATTCGTTCGTTATTTAATTTTCCTTTTTATCGAACACGTTACTATCTATGGGGGGTTTTCATCCCACATACTAGGTAAAACCGTAGAGTGTATGAACTACAGATAATAATGATAATTAAGCGTGTCACTGCGTTGTCCCGTGCCGTTCTGTTAGAAAGACAACTCAACTACGGCATAAAAAATTACAATAAATGGAAATGGCATAGGCATTCGTATATACATCAGTTTTTCTGTATTAATTTAATAAGAAAGCTTGCTTTTTCGCTCGAAGGAAAGCGAACAGACACTCCTCGTTCTATGATTTCCGGTCATGATGGAGCCGTAATTAGTGGCCTATCACACTAACTTTTCGTAAATCGAACATGTAGATCAGTCTAAACATTTTCACTATCGAAGTTTACTCTCGTATGCATTTAGTGTTTTATTTTTACTTCCTGCATGAATAGAAATATTTCTATCATTGTTTTTTAACGAGAGATAATCCCTATATGGACCTCATCTTAAACAAAATCAACGGCTTTCAATGAAGGTACATCGTTTTGTTAAACAATTATCTGTTACCTCGTGTGATATGCTTAAAACGAAGTCGTAGACAATGGCCAAGCAAATCTGTTCTATCTAATCGTATAGAGTATCATCGAGATAGTACGTTATCGACGAGGCATCAGCCACTGTTTCTCTAACCCTTAGCTTCAGTTTCGGTACCTGTGTCAAATCGGTAGGGGAACGACTGGTAGACGGATTTGTTATCCGATGCGACCGCTTGTCTATAGATATTTTGGTCTAGAGATAGATTGGCGACTCTACCCGTTTTTTTTTACTAGCGATTTTAACCAGCAGAGAACCATGTTCTACTAAGAACCTTCTGCGCCTTTCCTTAGAGAATGCCGCTCTCGTTCTCCTCTGCGAACGCCACACACTACTTTGTACAGTGGTGTAATTGAGCTTTGCCCATGGCAAATGCAACCGTGTAACAGCCGCTTTATGTCTTTGTGGGTAGAGTGTGTATTCAGAACGCATCACAGTACTCGATACGACCTCGGTGAAAAAAACGATAGTCAATATTTTCGAAAATAACACGTGTTACTCATACGGGCGATATCGTATGAGACTATATAAGTAGGGTAGGTGATATTGTATAATCGTTGGCAGTATACATCACAGAGGTCGCCTACTGCTGTTTCCGATAGCGAATGCCTTATAAGTGTGCCATTTCTGTCTGTAATTAATGTAAGGTCTAAGCGCCGCCACTAGCTGTCGTCTAGCGGAGTGAAATCTATCTATATTTACCAATGTAATTAGTAAACAATTACATATTTATGGTATCATGATATGTTAATAGATGTGCTATATAATAAGAAACGATAATTAGATTAGCTCGAAGACACTGTCTGGACGCACGAGTCTGAGCCACGCGTGTATGTCGTGTGAGTATTTTTTTAATTTGTTCCCTCAATAATTTTCACAAAACAACCCCCAACCATAGAAATGTCTGTACTTTAGTATGTTTACTTGGCGCTCAATATCATCTATGCCACCCCACATATACATAGCGCACCCACTGTCCATAACTCAAGGATAGAGCTTTTGTTCGTTGTTTGTCAAAAAATATCCACACTGAACAACGCAATCCGCAATTCGATCTGATCTTTTTCAAATATCCAATTGTATCCAGCAAAACGGGTCAGAAATAGCAGAGAGATAACAGACTCTCGGCAAAATTAAAAGGAAGGATCTACATGCATGTTCTTTGGCACCATTTTGTCCTCTAAATACACAATCCCTATCATTCTTCGACTTATAATCGATTTGAGAAGGGCAAGGCACTGCAGTACGATGGCATCATTAGTGGAAGATAAAGAAATGTTCGATTAGCCATATCATAAAGGGCAAGAATTGAATGCAGGACGAGCCTACGTGAAGTAAAGTAAAGGATATATTGGCCGACGAGGAAACTTCATGAAGCCCTGAAGTAGTAAAGGGCTACTCGTCGGGCATGAACACGTATCACGATATGCACATAGTCGACTTCCAACTTCGGACTTCCGCCATTTACGGTAAGGCCCCAGCTGGCGGAATTTATCGATGGTTTGCTAACCACAGCAAAGATCACGAATCTCAGATTAGATACGGGACGACGTCAGAAAGTAGGACAATAGGATGATGATGTTCATCAGGTATTCGTCATACATATGTCAGTGTATAATGTAGTGACATTATAGTGTTGTTGTTCAAAGCCTTTGGAGTTGGTGAGCGAGGGTGCGCTCGCGCAAGTCGTGTCTTATAGAAAGCGTTGCAGGCTGCGTTGTTGAGTTGTCGTTGATGGTGTAGTAGTCGGCGTTCCTGCAAGGAAATGTCGACATTTTAAGGGGTCTTACGAGTAAAGGAAGGGTAATATGCCATGCCAGCCTGTGCGGATATGTCAGAAGAGGATAGCCAATGTGGGCATAACCCTGTGGATGCTTCAGGTCGCTGTCGAGACTTGCGCATAAGGCGACACCACGGGAGGGTACAGACAAGCCACCATGCGTCTGTAGGGACGAGCGTAGCTCTGGGATGTGGTGCCTATCTGCTCAACAGTTACTACAGCATCTACCGACAAACTATAGATACCTCCGCCTTTTAACGCTGTGGCAGAAGGCTGCCTGAGACTAACTGTAAGAGGAGCGGAACTACATAAGCAGATGTAGCTACCATAGAGTACTAGGCAGACTTCTACGGGAAATTGTTGTCTCTGTGAAAAGGGCTAGACACAGCTACACGGGATGCATAGTTAAAGAAAGTAAGCGAAGGAACCTCAGGCAACAACAACGATGGCGCTGATGACGATAAGGAGTCATAGCTCCTTCAGGGCGGCATAGCATGTGCGCTCACCGAGGTCTTGCTTTATTCCAGTCAGTGTCAGCGAGCCCAGCGAAGTGGTGCCTGTTTGCTGCTGCTTGTCGGGGGGTTCCGTAGCAGCAGGCGTTACTAGCAGGCAAAGTCTGGGACTTGTCTGAAAGGGTTTCGAGCCGCTGACGCCATCGTCTTCGTAGTTGTGCTTCTAGTAATAGTAGTAGGTTACGTTCATACGCCTAAAATAAAACGAGTACCAAGAGAGAAAGAGTTGGAACTCAGAGAAAGCAGCCTAAATCGGGTTGGAGCAGAGGCAAATGCACAGATCCTTAGGAGAAAAGGCAGAAGCAAGACGAATATCCTCATTTGTTATAATTTTCTCCTTTCTCCTACAGCCGCCATCAGCACCGTCATTCGCAGCTCGAGTACTACAGTTCTGCCACAGTAACACTGAATAAAACTAGGCATAGCATTGCTCGGTGCTCCTCACTGGTAAAGAGGCCTGTTGTGAGCGAAACCGATAAAGAGAGCTCGCAGAAGTTGTAGGTCGACGGAGCAAAAGACATGCTTCAACCAGACTCGATCCGCAGCTCGAACAGGCGTATTCCAAATAGGTTGGTACCTTTCCTGTACTTCATCAAAATACGTCGTCATCTGTCGACAGGCGCGCGAATGAAATCAAAGCGCTCAATTTCGAGCTGGAGTAACGCTTTGGCAGTCAGTTATGATCGGCGTAATTCAAGCTATTCTAGGTGGCCAAAAAGATGGAGAAAACATTTGACCGAGATTGAGCCAGCAATCTTCGCCAACTTTGCCCTGTTTCCATCACGGTCGTACTGCGGCTGATTCAAATAATTAAGGGGTTACGATTTGTATAGCGTTCTCGTCTATATCAAAGTCCAATGACGCTTTTATGGCACGGAATGATGCAGTTTTTTGTTATTATAAATTTACAATGCCTTAACAGTTCATATCCGTATAATTTTGGGTAAACAACAATATACTTATCTACTAAACTGCTATTTTAAATGTTTTATTTCACGTAGATGTTGATAGATAAGATTAGAAAAAAACAGAATTCATTAGTAGGTTGTTTAGTAGGTTTATGCTACGAAAAAAATACTACCTAACCTAATGTTCGACCACTAGATCTAAAGATTTCCCGCACTGTTTCTGCTCTGTAGTTAGGTTACACCATCTATTTGCCGACAAGGACAGATTAGAGTTTCCCTCGGTGATCGATGACCCTAATTTTACAGGTCCGTTATTGGTTTAAGAGAACTACTTATAGACTCAGCGATGCACACTCTTCTAATCAGGCTTCTTCTGTTGATAGGAACAGTAATGCGGTAGTGACGCATTAAAGTCGACGTATCTTAGCTGACACATTAAGAATGGATGATTCACTAAACACTAAATGGAACTCACTTGGAGCACGGAGCCGCATAGTTTAGGTAGCTAATGAGCATTTTTTTTAGTGCGTTGCCGCGGTAACCATGAGGATATCGGCATCAGTAGTTTAAATTTCAGCGTTCGTAAACAGTCGCCATGAAATCCATTGGCCACGCCGTTTCATAAATCGGTTGGAGAAACCCCAGATGAACCCAGCAAGATCCAACATGACGCGAGCAAATCCTTAATATTATGCGGAAGAGATGATTCTGAGGACCTGTTCACACAGCCGAAAACGTTAAAAATCAATCATTACCAAAAAAATCTTAAAACTCTAATATACACACCTATGAAGGTACCGAACAGCAAAAAATTACGTCACAGTTTCATCACACTGAGGAAAAAGGAGCGGCAACTGGCCGAGTCACCACCCGGTCAAACGTTTATACGATTGTCACCGACATCATTTTTTTGGCCACCGAATTTTCTCTGGATCGTAAATAATTTTTTTGGATGATGCATATAGTACCACGTTACTTCAATAGTTTCGACAAAAGAATTCCTATCTTGAACGTTGAAGAAAAGCATAAAGTACTGAACATCAAACGACGCGACAAGAGAACCCATGAAGGGTAAACAAGTAATCGCGCACCTTTCATAACGGATGCGTTTTTCCCGTTGGGATTGGCCACACTCCCATCTAAACAACAATGTTAGCTGACCAAATCCACGGTAAAAGAACACTGCGGGTCACCGACTGGCACGACCGTGTTCACAAAGGCGGGCAAAAAAACTCATAGTCCTAATCACATTTGCACGTAGTAGCGGATAATAATCCTGGTCGTGACGTTGGCGCTTAAAATGATAATTATAGTATATCACAGAGAGAGAGCTCAAATAGATATTTGCTCCCACATATTGCTATTTATATATAATGCTAACGAATGCCC